AGGAGAAGCGGGCCTTGCCTTGATCTCCTTGGAAGAAAGCCACGATACGAACGTCATAAGTACAGTGGGGTCTTGACTTGAGAACTTAATCCGTATTGGAAGGCGGTTCTCAAGTCAAAAAGTTCTCAGGTCAAATCTGCATTTCCCATAGGAATGCATTGAAAACCATTAGATCCGTATCTGCTCTTTTCCGTCCATAGAAACTAATGGGAAGCTGCTATTCTGCCTTCAACCACTAGAGGGGGGATATTTTGTTTCTTTTCTTCTTAGGTCAAGAAAGGTTCAGGGAAGGCAGGGAAAAGACAGTCCAGGCAGTCCAGTACCGGGCAGTCCGAAGACTGTCTCCCAATCCACGCTCTAAACGCTGGGAGGAGTGAGGAAGCAGACAGGCACCCTTTTCACTGGCCAACAGTTAACTGAGAGTTCACATTTTGCACTTTCCCTGCCTCCCACGTGGTTTTTTTTCAATTCTTAACTCAAATCTAAGTATGTAAGTCAAGTCAATATTTTCCTATGAGAGTGGTTCTTAAGTCAAAAAGTTCTTAACTCAAGCCGTTCTTAAGTCAAGACCCCACTGTAACGGAGCCTGCAAGGTGCTCAAACTCTGGCCTGTGGTTCTTCAAATCCCACTGCTGTCCATGGGGGAGGGATGACACCCCACTTCCCAAATTCCCTTTTGGAGGTCTTTGTCTATGGAGCGACTTTGTTGTCCCTGATTTTTGTGCCATCCAGCCGGACATGGCTTATAGCGACCCTAATCGGGTTTTTAAGGGAAGGTGGTTTAACCATCTCACCCTCCCTCAGTGAGTTCCCATGGCTGAGCAAGGATTTAAACCCATTTCTTCAAAATTCTAGGCCATCAACTCTACCCGTTACTCCACACTGCTGTCCTTGAGGGAGAGGAAAAACTCTTCTGATTATTCTGGGTCCTTTAAACGGCAAATAATCTTGTGCCATTTAAGTCTTCAGAGACCTTAATTGTCATAAGCTTCTGTGTAATTGTGGCTACCCATTTCATTGCAGTCTTGTGCCATTTTAGTTTAACATTTTCTGCTTGCTGTGAAGTGAAGTCATCTCCTTTTTCCCCCCTAAGAACGGCAGCACATAAATTCTGCAAGTAAATTCATATATATATATAAATATAAATTCAAAGCGCTCCTCTAACTATCAAACAACCCCCAAATCTGTGATGCTGGCTCCACCCTAGCCCTTTGACGGTACACCTGAGTCCTCTCCGATCGCTTCTTGCCACAGCTGCATTATCCTGTCTTAAAAGCCGCCTTAATTGCATCACCTTGGAGTATAATGAATCAGCGTCTCTAACATTTATTTAATCATGGAGAGACAGGAAAGGAAAAAGAAGAAAGGAGAAACCTTCCTTGAATATAAATAAGAACTTAGAGTTGCCGCTGAGCCCTCCCTTTCGGCTGGGTTAAATTTTTTTTATTGATCCTCGGATTAGAGCCAGGCCAGGAATGGAGTGTGTTCCTTTTGCGTTCTCATCAGGCAGAGGTTTTACAGGTTTTCTAGCTGGCCTATTAGTATTTTTCGTCATTTGTGTGTTTAATTTCACAGTGAGGCAATATGCTGTGCAGTGGTGCCTTGAGTTAGGAACATAATTGGTTCCGGAAGACGGTTGTAACTGAAGTTGGTCGTAACTCAAAGCACCATTTCCCATAGGAATGCATTGAAATGCAATTAACCCATTCTGGCCGGGGGGGGGACACTGCAAAACCCATCAGAAATGCGATTAATCCACTCTGGCGGCGGGGGGGGGGAAAGAACCCACTGAAAAACAAACACTGCAAGACCCATCACAGCACAGATACAGGACACACACACCCAGCCCAAAACCCATGCTGCAAAAACCCTATACTCGCTCAGAACAGGCATTTCAAAAAGCAGGCAATCCGAAGCCTCCTCCAAACACACTCTAACTGCTGGGGCGAAAGAGCTACAGAGAAGCAGCCTCTTCGCTGACCAACGGTTAGCAGTTTAAATTCCCCGCCTTTTTCCAGATCGCATCTCAAAGCTCCAGTCGCAAGTCAAAGCAAAATTTTGCGCCCAGAGCTGATCATAACTCGAATTGGTTGCAAGTCAACACGTTCATAAGTCGAGGCACCACTGGTATAGAGGACAGTGTTGGTTTGGGACTGTTGGACAATTTCAGGTCCATTACTTAGACAGAAAGATGATTAGATGCCCTTGGGGGGAAACCCATCTGTTGTAATGGGGCACCAGTATCAGCAGATCTAAGATATTGGACCCAGAAATGTTCCTTTGTCTTAACAGAAGCCTCTGTCTTGTTCGGAAATTGTTTATTGTGGGGAAAAGAGGATGACTAAGAGGAGACATGGTAGAGATGTTAAAAAAAATTCTGTATGATGGGAGAAGCTTGTTTTCTATCTCTCTGGTACTCAGTGGTGGGAGGTTCAGGATAGGCAAAACAAAGTATAGATCATAGTGAAACTGTGGAATTCATTGCCACTGGATATTGTGATGGCTGCCCTTTGTGACTGCTTTAAAAGGGGATTTGGATAAATGTATGGGGATTAGGGCTCTCAGTGGCTTCTACCGCATTATCAGAGGTGACCTGGGAAGCGGAGGGTCTCCTGTACACACTTTACAAATAGCTCTGTGTTACAAGCTGAAATCGGTTCGTTCCAGAGATACGGCTCAGGCAGACATTCGTGACTGACCAGTCGTACGTATGAGCAACTTCTGTTTTAAGGTCCTGAAGACCAGACCCAAAGCGTGGCCAGCAAGGGAAAGGTCCTGCTTTGACCACTGCAGGTTTCTCAGCACGAGAGGAATCCCTGGCTTCTAAAGATGGGTTATCTGTGATGTGTCGTTTGCCCCTTAACAAAGGTTTGAAATGCGATGCAGCCCCAGCGCACACTGGGTGACCTTCTTTCAGCACTAGAGGAATCCCTGGCTTCTAAGGATGGGTTATCTGTGATGTGTTTGAAATGCAATGCAGCCCCAGCGCACACTGGGTGACCTTGGGTAGTCATTTGCATCTCTCAGCCTCTCGTGCCCCACATGAGGGGCGCAGGGCCAGGGCAGAGGAAGGAGGGGAACTGTGATGCTTAGGCAGAGCAGAAAACAGTCCCTCACCAAGGGGTTGGATCTCCCTGAGATCCTGAGCGTAGCTTTGCAGCCCCAGAATTGGTTGGTAAGGGAATCCGTAGGCATTCCGTCGCTAGCGAAGTTAAGCATGGCCAAGCCGTGGGGAGAGGAGGACAAGAAATCTTGGATCGGGGCCGCTGGCACATCCCATTCAAGGTCCTCTAACCTCGAAAGGAAAAAGAGGAATGGGGAGTTGTTGTTCTTATGAATCTTCAAGTCGATTCCGACTTAACCGTGACCTGAAGAGCGAGTGACCTCCAGAAGGTCTTCTCATTAATAAATTCTGTGCTGGTCTTACAGATTGAAAGCAGTGGCTTCCCTTATGGAGTCAATCATCTCAAATATGGTCTTCCTCCCTTCCTGCTGTCTTCAGCTTCTTGCAGCATCACCTTTTTTAAAAATTGGGTCTTGTCTTCTCATGTTCCCAAATGACACGTGGGTGGCATCAAACCTTGTAAAATAGCTTGAAAACCTTCAGACTGGCTCACATGCTATTCAGGCGGTTCATTTTTCTGTTCTGACACGGCGAAAGGTCAGAATTTGGTGCCGAAAGGGGCTACCATTCTTCATCTTGTGACCTACAGTTGAGGTGTAGAAATTTAGAAGGGCCTCCCTTGCTATTTATCTCCCTTCTCCCCCTCCACCCATTAAAGTGCTGACACTGACTTCCCGCCAGCCACCGGTGGTTTTTCCTCTTCTTGCTAGCATCCTCAGCCGAGCTTTAAATTTATTCACGGAAAGTACCAGCGCTCAGGTGGCCACAGCTAAATCCGTTTAGGCTTTGGGATCAGAGGGAAAGCGATTTGAAGGTTGTGCCGGTGCTGCCTTACTTAGCAAACCAAAGGATATTAATTACTGCGTCTGTTCACCAATGTAAAAACCTTGAATGTTTTGGGGTGGAAAGCAGAGAGACAACAGAACATGACATGTGGAAGAGGGAGGAGGAGGAAGAAGGCATCAAAGAATGGGTCAAAGCTGAACCTGGTCCTTCACAACCCACTGGAAGCCTGGAGTAAGCAGAGACTGTTTTAGGAAAGATGCAGGATTTATTATTATTATTATTATTATTATTATTATTATTATTATTATTATTATTATTATTATTATTATTATTATTATTATTATTATTATCATCATCATCGTCGTCGTCGTCGTCGTCGTCGTCGTCGTCGTCGTCGTCACTATCATTCATTCATTCGTTCATTCATTCATTCATTCATTCATTATTACAACAAACACACCTTTCAAGCATCTGCTCCATGTCTTGAAAGAATTGTGGGGTTTTGCTTTTGTTTTCAAAAATAATTTTCTATTAGCTTTTTATGAAGCTTCGTCTCTGGCGGTTTCCTTTCCTGAGCCATTTCTAGTGCAAATATAACATTACCATCCTTGCTCTCAGAGTGTGTTTTGCTAGAAGGTATGCTTGGGCGGGTGTTTCTCTCCTTTTAATCCTCCCTCCTTCCATTTTGTTTTGTCAAAAGCTGTACCAATATTTTGCTGTGTTTCTCCTCTCTGGATACTCCAAACATGTAATAAACTGGGAGAGCATCCTCAGGTGAGTGGCAGATTGAGAGATGGATCTGGAAGACGCTGCCTTGACAAACGGGGAGCGGCGCTCCTGTATTTATCAGGCATCCATTAAGAAAGGCATACGGGGAGTCGAAACGCTGACTCGCCCTGCAATTTGACAGCGGACGGGATTCTGAGAAAACCGCCAAGCCTGGTGAAAAGGGTCGGTGTTGAAAAATGACTTGGAAAGGCGAAGCAATTTGGGGGATGCATATCTTGCTGCGTTTGGTTATAAATTGTTGACCCCCCTCCGTTGTAGGTCGATTAGTAATGCAAAACCCATGCTAATTCTTTGTCCTTAGGATATGCCGATGATTTGGACTTCAATTTAGAAGATGCCCTGTCGGATGACATTTCAACAAAGAGACGTAAGTCAGCCTCTTGTGTTGGTGTGTGTATGAGAGGGAGAGGGAGAGTAAACTGTGAACAGATTTCAAGGTCGGCTTCCATGACGTTTTCATAGAACGAGTGTCTTCCTGCTAAAAGGGTTGGAGTGCCTGGCTGTGGAACCAGGGGCTGTGATTCAAATCTCCATAGTGCCTTCTGGAAGAAGGGGTTGCTTCAGACCACCCAGAACATGGGGTCGAGAGGGTTCCATGACCTACCGTTTGTGCAACCTCGGACAAGCTGTGTGGGTCCCAGAGGACCACCAGGAGAGATAGCTAAACCAATTCTGAGCACTGCATACCAAAAAAAAACCCTTGGCAACGTTGCCGTAAGTCAGAATCGACTAGATGGCATATCATCATCATCATTAAAATCCTATACATATCCTGAGTATTAAATCTTGGCAGCACCTGACATAAGTATATTGCATGCTGATATCAACTTAATTAATATTGGTCAAAAAAAAATCCTTTTGCCAGTACTGTATAGACGTGCATAAGGAAAATCATGTGAGTCTTGGCTGCAAATTACCGCTCGTTAACAAGGTGCCTAACAATGTAGCCAGCATGTCAATAAACGAGTGGCAATTTGTTTGTAGACTTGGGGTTCACTTCCTTGGGTGCGTGGAATGTGGTTCCCCCAAGCTCACCTGAAGCTCCAGAACTGGTTACAAAAGACGGAAACAGTTCCTCCTTTGGAAATTACTGCAGTAGTTTGATGGCAGAAGTGCTGTGCACACTTACTTGGGAGTAAGATCTGTAGAACTTTCTGGCACTTGTTTCCGAGTAAACTTGGATAGGCTTATGTGCAAGATTCAATAAATGTATTTTCATCTTAATTTTCTCCTTTCGTCTTATCACAGCTACTCACAAGCCACCTAAAATTCCTTCTGGGGGAACAGGTAAGATGTTTGTCAGCTGTTTTAGATAAAAGACTGGCAGGCAGGAACTGGTTTGCTCTCTTGTGTTTCATGCCATCTGTGCTATTTTCTGCAGGAGAAGAAGCTTCTTTGTGATATACGTGGTTTAGTACTAAAGCTTTGCAAGTCTAGAATGGCAGCTTGGGTGTCTGTTCACAGGCTTGTAGCTCCAAGTTATGCCATTGCATTTAATGCAGTGTGCAGATTCCGTTGCACTCTGGCCATTATATATATGGGTTATATATATTTCATATCCCGTATGGGTTAGGAAGAGGGATGTGGTGGATCTGTGGGCTAAACCGCAGGAGCCCGTGCTGCAGGGTCAGAAGGCCACAATCGTAAGATCAAATCCACGCAACAGAGGCGAAGATCGCTAAGCGAATCGCTTAGCGATCATCGCAAAGCGAAAAATCGCCATAGGGGCCATCGCTGAGCGAACGCTCCAGCAATGGCCCGGACCCCCTCGCTATGCGAATTCATTGCATAGCGAAGCACTCGCTAAGCGAGGCACCACTGTATTTCCTATCCCGTATGGGTTAGGAAGAGGGACGTGGTGGATCTGTGGGCTAAACAGCAGGAGCTTGTGCTGCAGGGTGAGAAGGCCAGCAATCGTAAGATCAAATCCACGCAACAGAGTGAGCGCCCGTCGCTTTGTCCCAGCTCCTCACCAACCTAGCAGTTCGAAAGCATGTAAATGCAAGTAGATAAATAGGTATCATCTTGGTGGGAAGGTAAAACGGCGTTCCCTAGTCACGCTGGCCACGTGACAACGGAAAACTGTCTTCGGACAAAACGCTGGCTCTGTGGCCTGAAAAGCAGGATGAGTCGGACACAACTGGACTTAAAATGTCAAAGGGAACCTTTACCTTATGGGTTAGGAAATATATGGATGGGTGGAAATCTCTGATGGAAATATCACCATTCTCACCAATGTTTAATTAGCTTCTCTGATTTCCTAACTCATATATATATGGGTTAGGAAATTAGAGAAGTTAATTAAACATAGGTAAGACCAAAACAACATCATACTGCTAGGTACAATATGGGAGGCTCATGCTTAGAATTTAGGGCAGAATGAAGGTTCTGCATAAGAAAATGGAGCTGGAAGTCTCTCCCAGGTTTGCCAGTACTACCATAGTGTTCCACCCACAGCCAGCCTACCTTCCTTCTATCAAGAGGACCTCTAGATTGGGTTGGGGGATCAGTATGGAAGAGTAGCAGTTGAAGAAAGGCAGCCCTCTAGGTTGGGTTGGGGGGTCAGTATGGACGAGTAGCAGTTGAAGAAAGGCAGCCTGCTCATCCATGCACACACTCAGAGTCTCTTTTAAGTGTAGGAGACTGTGCCGTTCATACAAGCTCAGCCTCTCTGCTCCTTAGAATGCAGGCAGCCTCTGAATGAAATAGAAGACAAGGTGAAGAATCTAGTAGCCCTGGAGGATGAGCGGGTGAGGCATTCTGACACCTACTGGCTTAATCATAGCAGCAGTAAAGGACTCTTGACCCACCCAATGAGTCTCATGGAATCCCACCATAAAGTCTTGGTAAATTTGTACCGCTTATCCCAGTATAAACTCAAGAGGCCCAGTGGACCTTTTGCACTGGCATTTTGTAGTTGATGGTTTTGTCCTCAGCCTCTCTTTTACACCTGGCTTCCGTTGCTGGATCTTGTGGTCCTGAAACCTGCAAGCTCCTAGGCAGCATAAATTCCACTGCAGTAGATCCATACCCTAAGCCAGTGGTTCCCAACTGTGGATCAACCAGGGGTTCCCGGACTGCAATTCCCAGAAACCCCGGGCAGCACAGCTGGTGGTGAAAAGGCTTCTGGGAACTGCAGTCCAGGAACATCTGGGTGACCCAAAGCTGGGAGCCACTGCTCTAACCAGATTCCTTTTGAGTTATTGCTACATGCACCCAGGCAGTTCCCCCCCCTCGCCTCCCCTTTTCCATGTTGTCGGTCACACAAGTGTGATGGCATGACCAAGCGGTGACCAGGGCCTGTGATGAACAGCCGTGGAAACAACACTCAAAAGCTTGTGCCGTTGATCTTACAGGATCACACAAGCCAACAGGATTCTGGCCTTAACAAGAAAAAAAAGAGAAAAAAGTGGTCTGCATTCTGGATTGTCAAATTCTGGATATTGCACGAAATTGGTCTGTGAGGACAGAAGTGAAAAATAAACCCTTTAAAAATAGCCCGTTGTTGTTTATAAAGATGCCCGCCATATTATCCATTGAGAAAGACACCATGCAGAACACATATGAGGAGACAGACGCTCTGGTGTTTAATGGTCCCTGGCTAGTTTTCAGAAGCTCTCTTTTCGGTACCCTGTTCCAAGCCTTCCTCATAGGGTGGTTGTGTAGATAAAATGAGATAAGCCCATGTACGGATGCGTCAGGTTCCTCGGAGGAAAGAAGGGAATGCCAGATGCAAACAGAAGAAATCAAAGCAAGAACAAAGCCTTTCCGCAGATCAACACAGTTTGTCCCATATGTGTTTGTTTATTTATATGCTGGACAGAAGACATTGACCTGCTGGATTTTGATACCCCGCCAGAGAGGACAACAAAACCCGCTAAGGGAACTGTGGGACCTTACACAAGGAAACAAGGTGAGCAATGGGTTTCTGGTGATGTTTTGCACGGAAAGCACCCGGAATTTCCCAGGTTCCAACACAGCCTTCCAAAAAACCTTGAGATGAAGGACCGTGGGGCACATTGACACATGTTGTTGCTCCCTTGCCTGTTTGCCTGCCTGCCTTGAGATGAAGGGCCGTGGGGCACAATGACACATGTTGTTGCTCCCTTGCCTGTTTGCCTGCCTGCCTCCTTCTCTGTTTGTTGAATTCCTATAAGTGTCCTTGCTTTCTGCCAGAACTGGGACTCAAGACAGCGGGTAGTGTGATTAAAGTCAGGTACGCCTAAAAACGAGGGACGTGGTGGCGCTGCGGGCTGTGTCCTTGCTTTCTGCCAGAACTGGGACTCAGGACAGCGGGCAGCATGATTAAAGCCAGGTACGCCTAAAAACAGGTCCGGCTAAAGACAGAGTTCTAAGCTATTAAAAGGTAGAATATTAAAGCTAAAATGCTAAAAAGGAGGAGGTAACCAAGAAAATCATTTTGTTTCTGAGCAAGGAAATAACACAGTCCCGTTGTGTTACTGATAGAACACAAGCTGAGAGGGAGGCCTTGTTTGTTGACCTAATGTCTGCTGTCATACACTGTGGGTTTTGTCTCCACACCTCACACACGACAGTGGGTTTCTACCCCCATCCCACAACACAAAGCTTGAAAAAGAGGGCCTGTGCTGTAATGCCTAGTCTTCCCCTTCAGGCTTTGCCTCACAAGAAGAAGGCTAGTTGTGTTGAGCAGCAGGGGAATAATCCCAAAATACTTGGTTGCTTTAATTTGTTTAAGGATTAGTCCTCCGTTGCGCTAAATAATTAGGTTCCCTCTGTGACGGTAAACTCAGAGGGCGAGACGAGGCATCTAGTAGCTGAGCTGGCCGCTTGTGCAGCCCGAGGGCCGTGCAGAAATCAAGCTGGCTGCTCTCAGGAGTCTTTTGTGTTACAAGGAAGAGAGTAAAAATGGGCACCAGCAGAAGGGAACCCTGGAAACCCTCCGGGTGTTGCCTGATGTAGGCATGGCAGCGTTTCTCTGATTCTTCTGTGTTTCAAGACCATCCCCTGTAAAATGGCCAGCTGCTTGGGTCACTTGACTGTACCTAAGCATCACCTTAGCTCTGAGGCCATGCCAGACCATGGCTTGCCCTCACTCTAAATTAGAACAATTGTCTGGCAGTTTTGTTTTCTCCAGTTTTCCATGGCAGTTCTTACGGTCGATCCTTTTTCCATGGAGCAACAGGCAAAATTCTGGTTTGTTAGTTCAGACATTTACTTATTCATTTTTTTCCTAATTTAACGTGCTTATTTCTAGCCGCCTGCTGGCCCCTCGTGCCAACACCCCTTGGGTGGTTCACAGCTATCAATTAAAATGATATTGTCAATGGGTTGCGGACTTCACGCATAAGAACCCTGCTTCTGAGTGTCAAAAGGATGGCAAGCTGTGGTTTGTCAACCCACTCCTACCATACCAAATCAGAGTTAAGCTCCTGTTATCATAGTTTTGTGTGATTCTGATCTATATGAATGTCCAGTTTCACTTAGGGCTGATTCACAACAAGCTCACCTATATATATCACTCGAATTCACTGTCTGATTTGATGCTCACTGGAGGCATGTCTGGGCTACAGAGTTATATCAGGTTGATACAAGTTCAACTGCAGTGGCACAGTTCAAAGGATCTCTGGTGTTTATAATTTGCATTGAAGCTTTTAAACAGAGAATTCTCTTTACTTCACAAGCCTACACATTTCGGAATTCTTTAAAATAAGATTCATGACGGTTAAAGTGGAATTAGCACTGATTTGTGTCACCCAGATAACCTGATGTCTGAATGGCACGTATACACTTTTTGTGTATAAACTCTGTCTTTGGGTTTACGAGTAAATCTTCTTTGCATTCTCCTGTTTTCAGATGATGGCCACTGGAATGTACAGCATACTACCACCACCAAGCAGCCCAAGACACCGAAGCCACCTCCCAAAAAGATCCCAGGTAAATACTCAAGTCTTTATATGAGATCCCAAGAGGTTGTGAATAATATATCAAGGGACTTTTACTGCCAGGTAAAATTATTGCTCTCCACGAAACCTATCTAGATGTTACTTTAAGGCTTTTACTAGTATCCAAAATCCAACTTTTGCCATCTTTGTTTATGGTTCATGGAGACATCCAAGGCAAGGTTGTTTCTGCCTATAGACAAAAAGGGACCGGCTGTCATTCTGTTACTCTTCCCAGTTGATCTTCAAGTGAGATCATTGTGGTGTGGAAGTGCATGGGGGTGGTGGTGGTGGTGGTTTTTTTGGTCCTTCCCTCCAGTTTTATCAGAGTCCTAGCCTTCAATTTCCTCTCCATGTTTTAAGACCGGAGAGGTATAGTCGTCATAGGTTCATGAACAAGGTGTTCCTCGGTTTAGTAATGTTTCACTAGACCTTTTGACAAATTGTGTCTCCAGTTGATCTGGATTCTGATGGTACTTCTAAGAAAGACACCTTTACATTTCTTTTGAAGTTCCACTTTCAGGTTGCCATAGAGGTCAGGGATCTTTGGACACGTCCAGCAAATTTCTGCTTTTTGCCTGCCCCAATCATTTTGATTGATCTCTTAATGAGGGAACTGTCAAGAAAATGTATTTGAATTATGTGTATAAGAGTGGATGTAACTGAACTGGGCTGGAGCAACTTTTAGGCATCTAGACAGATGTAGACGTATGGAAGGATTCCCCATGTGGTGTAGTGGATAGACTAGGGCTCGGAAGAACAGGATTCAAATCCCCACTTGGCCAAGGAAACCCACTGGAGGAGTGAAACTGGTAGAAGCACTTCTTAAATATCTCACCCTGAAAGCCCTATTAAGGGTCGCTGTGAGTCGGTTCCAACTTGACTTTATAGAATGCACATATGCACAAAGATGTACCGCAGAGGTACACCCTAACATTTAATTGAAAAACATAGAAAGTTTCTGATTTCTCTCTCTCTCTCTCTCTCTCTCTCTCTCTCTCACACACACACACACACACACACACACACAGAGAGAGAGAGAAGAGAGAGAGAGAGAGAGAGAGAGAGAGAGAGAGAGAGAGAGAGAGAGAGAGAGAGAGAGATGCAAACGAGGGGAGTTTTTTATAGTAGTAGAACATTCCTCCCGGCAGTCCTAATCCTTTAGCTGTTAAAGTCCTCCCCCACCCCTTATAACTTGAGTCCCCCAAAGGCTTCTTTCTCCTTGGGGCAAAAAGGGGGCCCAGAGAGTCTTGGGACCCGGATCATGCTTGCAGAAGTTATGCAACAGGGTTTTGCCTGGTGGGACTGAAAGTAGTCCCAGCAAAGTTGATTCTCGTTGATTCCAGCGGGTGTTCTTTTAGCATTTCTAAATTTGAACCTAACCTGTTGTGCTTGTAGTCGTACCTAAGAGAGATCAAAGTTTTTCTAGTCTAGTATACCGAATGTAATACTTACACCGTATTACATTCGGTATAAAAGGGAGAAATATTCTTTTCGCCATCCTTCTCTCTATGATAAGTATGTTTTTCTTGTAATTTATTATTTTCTTTTTGCTCTTTATTCTTCTCTCTGTCTGGTTAATAAGAATAAATCTTGTTCAATAAGAATAAATGTGGAAAAATCACAACAAGAAGGGAAAAAAGAGAAAGAACCCCCCCCGAAACAAACTCAATAGGGAAAAAAAAAACCAAAATGGAAATGCAGCACAAAAAAGAAAAATCTGTGCATAAAGTTCAGTAAAAGGTAACCAAATGTTCAGGTGGACATCTGTGTGAACATAATCTCTGTAGCCCACATGTTCAAATGTCCAGAGGATTGTAAAGCCCTCAGCCTATTGAATGACAGGAGGTGGGTATTTGTCTTTCCTGTGTTGCGCTATTCTAGTTACTCAAAGGGCAAGCACAGTGTTTCCCTGGCGGTTCGCACATTGTGTCATGCAACATCTGTGCAAAAACGGTGAGGCTTCTCTCTGCTGCCCGTAGGTCAAGATACGGCTGAATGAATTCGATGTGGTTTGCAAAATATGGTGAGAAAATATAGAGAAGTCTTAGCTATTCCTCATCTCCTTCTGTGTACACACACGTGTGTGCAACGTGAAGGACAAAAGCTTCGCAGGGCAAAGAAGAAGGCGTTTTGGTAGAATAGAGTCCAGAGGTAATTGCGGTCCTGTTTTGTAGCCAAAGACCCCATGGATTTCGACTTATCGGATGCTCTGGATGACCAGAATGATGGGCAAGGTGGTGGAAGGCCGAACGTAAACCCCGGCGGTCGAGGTAGGTTGAGAAATCGGTTTCCGTTCAGCCTGCTTCGACGTCTGTGTCTCCCTCTCCTTTTCGTGCCATCGCGAGAAGAGCAGCCCTGTGACAGTTGAACCCAGGCAGCCGACAGAGGGATCTCTCTCGTCTCAGAGGTAGCTGGAAGAGGAGCTATTTTTCAGGGGCGACCAACTGTTGCTGCAAAACTGCAGCAAAGTGTTGCCGCGTAGGGGGACTCCTCTTCTGTCTTCCAGTCAGTTAGCTGTGCTCCCTTTTGCATTTGTTCATTCTTGTCCCTCACCTGCAACCATCAAGTGGTGTTTCATAGTAGGCTCAGTCCTCCTTGGCCTGTTCTCCTGACCCCCCATCCCACCCCCCCAGGCTTCGTTCTTTTTATTTTTGCTAAATTTTTTCTGCGCTGCTGCAATTCTGTGGCCCTCCCTCTTTGGTTTTGCACGGATGCGTTTTAGCTGCATCAGATGGGGAAAGTGGAAGCAGGGGAAATTACAACGCTGGCATCTCATGCTGAGACACCTGTTGTTCTGATTGTTCTGCTTGACCCTGGGTTAAACTTGGTCATCCAAGATAAATTTCTTAAGGATGATGGTTAAAGGCTGTAGTTCTCCATCTTAGGATTCAAGCTAGGGGAATAAACAGGTGCATTGCTAAGGTCCTGATGTTACTGCTTCCAACTTGTGCACTTTTTTAAAAAATGTTTCATTTGCTTTTATCATATTGTAAAAACTAAATCAATTGCTGTTTTCTATGGTCAGTTAATGAATAAAGAATCCTGTTCCAGGCTTGAAAGATAGAGGTGGAAGAGGTGGAAAACCTGGTAAGGAGTCTTGGATTGGCTCCCAGCTGACAATTCTCCTCTCCCCCCCCCCATTACAAACCTTTGTCTTCTGCCATTCTTTCCTTCTAAGCATTTAAAACCCCTCCGTCAGCAAAGTGCATTGGATTGTTCTATTTGCTGAATACCTCTACTAATTTGTCCCTATTAATCAGCCTTGTCTTTCCTCTTTTCCTTGGATTTTTCTCCCTTTTCTGTGACTTTGGTTGTAAAATCGTGGAGTTGGAAGAGACTGTTGGGGTCATCTAGTCTACTCCTTGCTCAGTGCAGGATCTGTAGTACTGGATACGACTCCAGCAAGCCCGTCAGTAACAGATCTTTTGCATGATGGCCATTTGCCCTAGCGCTTATTAACGTTAGGATATCTTGAAAATCTGCTAAAGCTGTCATTAGAAACCAGACAAAATGGTACTGTTGTATAGATCTCAAGAAAAGAATCTAGTATATATTCATTGGTCTATTGCCTCCTTATTCCCACCAGCATTTCCAAGGGTGTAGTGTTACATTTGGAACGGTGTATCATGCCAGCCCCCATGCCCTTTCTGAGAAGAGTCTAGAAGGGCAGACAACTTGATCAACAAATAAGGATCAGGTCTTTTGTAAATGTAATGGCTTTTAATTGCCCATTCAAGACCAAACTGCCCTCCATTTCTTTGGCGTACACTAGACATTGCTTGAGCCAGTATACTGTTTGTGGGGGTTTGCAGCTAAGTTCAGAGAGAACAGGAAAGCTTGAAGACTAGGTGGCAGGCCATGTTAGTCAGAAAATCCTAGGCATTTGACCCAGTGAACCCTGGTTTCATTGTGACACTGAACACTTCCTGGCAGTTTGCATCCAAGGACTGCTTCCATTTAGGTCACGGAGATTCATAGAATCAGAAGCAACCCTGAAGGGGTTTATATTCTTGTGCTGCCCTGAAATTTCATGATAGAGGTCAGGTTATAATTGTCCTAAAATCAATGGATCAGTCCGTCCGTCCAATCCCAATAAATCCTGCCATAGTGGATTTCCTGCACTGGGGCAGGATTTATTGGGATTGGACTATTTTATTTACTCATTTTAGACTACTGTACTTATTTATATGGCCATCCAGTTTCTGTTTAAAAACACACCCACTTCCCAGAGGAATCCATTCTCTGGCCCTCTGGGACAGCAAAATGCACATAGTTTCCCTACAGTTTGAATCTGTCGGTCTGGATCTGGCCCTCTGGGACAGCAAAATGCACATTTGCTCCATTTTCTGTGGAACAGCCCTATCGTGCCGACCATCGGCGTGATGGTAAGGGGCGAATCACTTGCCATCCACTGGGGACAGGAAGCAGGTTTTGCACCTTGATGTTAATACAGCCCTCCTTTTTCTGTTCCATCTCTTTCTCCTCTTGTTGGCCCCTGATGCCGCATGGAATGATGCCATAGGTGGATAGCACCTTAGTTGTTGTACAACTTTAGGCCTTGCAAGTTTTCTGGACTTTTAACTCCCAGAATTCCTGACTATTGGGCAATCTTGGCTGGGGGCTTTTTTGGAAGCTGAAGTCCAGCATATCCGGAGGACTACAAGTAGAGAACTCGCTGGGGTCGAGAACACGCTTCCAGCTGCTCTCCTTGCAATTGTCACACCTAGGAGCGATGCAGGAGCTGCCGTCCTCTTCTGCTTCTCCCTACACTCCCTACACATTCCTTGCTTGCTTCTCTCCCCCTGCAGAATGATGTGGGGCCTTTGGAGAACTAGATGGAAAGTGCCTGGCCTTGAATGACAAGCAGAAATAAAACTGCACCATGTCTTTCTTGCATGTGATCAAATGCTTGATTTCACTAATTGGCCACTGCCAAAGCATGGGGGTCTCTATTTACTTTCTCAAACGCTAGGTCTCTCTCATGGCTTAAACTGAGGGTAAAGAGTTTTTTTGGACTCCAGTTTCTATCATCCCCAGCCACCGTAGTCAGCAGTCTATTAATAGCCAAAGATGAACCAAGGGCTGCTTGGTTACCACATACCAGGGTGCAGGATCCTTTGGTCTGGTCTAAAAGAGTTGAGCAGAACGAGACGGTCAACCCCCGTGTACCATTTCAGGCTATAGCGGGTGTGTGTGTGTGTTTCCCATTTGCAAAGTTTGTAAGTTTTGCATGTCAGTACTTACAGATGCTGGACTTGCAGCCGGTTCACACTCAGAAGTGTCCCATGAACAGAAGGTCTTCCTCCACCGCCACCCCCAGCACACATATAAAGCAGAGGTTTCCATTTCTGGAAATGGTTTTTTGTATAGCCAGTTATCCTGCTTCCACCTCACAGGTCAAGGAGTGCGCTGTCTACTGTGAATGTCTGGAGGGAGGGCTGGGGGAACGTCAGACCTTGGGACCGAGGAGTCAAAAGCTCTCTTGGGTTCCCAGACAAGCCTCATGCCCTTCCTTGCCTACAAGGCTCCACCCCCCCAACTCATTTGAGGCTTTCCCACAACGGGTTTCCCCCAAATTCTGTAAGATTGAAACACCTCTCTGGGTCAGAGTAAGAGCTTCAAGCCAAAATACGCGGGTATCTTTTTGTGTCATCCTTTCCTCTCCCTGCCTGCTCAACAGCTGGAACACAGCTCTTTGCAATGTCTTTGAAACGGAAACCAATCCATGAGTTGGAAGAGTTCTTGCATTCTTGCAATGAGCAAATTCGAACATAGCTGTGGTGGTTGATTTGAGAAGGTATACTGGTCATAGTGGTAGCCAGTAGTGGACAGAGTGATGAGTCAGAAGCCTTGGGCTCAAAACCCCATTCAGCATGGGAGGGAAACCACTCCTTAAAATATCTTGCCTGCTTTATAAAAGCCCTTCTTGGAGTTGCTGTAAATCAGCTGTAAACTTGATGGCACATCTCTCACTCTCTTCTGATCATCTCTATACAAGAGTAGATGTGGTCCTTCAGCTGCTCCTGCCTAAGGCTGTTCGTTGGTTAAAACCAGCGCCTTGAATTGGACCAAACATGGAGACAGGACAGAGGATCACAGCACAGGCTTAATGTGGTTGATAGGACCCGACTCCTGCCAACAGCCTTTCTGCTTCACCCAACAGTATTCTGCCCTGATGGCCGTCTCCAGGCCGGTGTCCTCCCCCATGTAAATCAAGCAACAATAGCCCATTCTGTGAGAATCTATGGTGTGCATGGAAGCCCTGCCCCAACATCCCCACCCTCCACCCTGAAGACAGCAGGAGGTTCACAGGTCCTCCCTGAAAGGATGATGAGACTGTAAACCTATTCAGCTGTAGATGCTTACAGTGCTCCTGGGCCTTATCAGGGTTCCTGGTGTTGGGCCGCTGTAAGTGGGATCCGCCTAGGGTGATTGCTAGATCCTCTGCAGATCTTTTTGTTAATCATGTAATCAGATCTTGCTGACTTCTGGGTTGGGTGGGATCTGCCTCCAGTGTTTGCTTCGGTCCCGAATGCCCATTTAGCCCTGCATGGATTCAGGAGTGATGCTTTTAATGGGGCGTAACGTTTGACTAGGGCTTTACTCTTTTCCCAGTCAAACTGACGAAGAGGTTTTCTGGATAGATTGCTTGACAGAAGCCCCCTGTTAACAAACCCAAATGAAACGTATTTTTAACTTTCAGATCTGTCAGATTCTGACCTGGAGGACATCCTAGATCAATATCAGCCAGATAAGAAAAAAGGTATGGTTTTCTCTTATTGCATAGCTGAAAGACTTCCGTTGTGTTTTGACATCATCCTAAACAAAATGGCTTTTTGTTCCTATGCAACGTTAAACCATAGTTTAGCTAAGGGTTAGGAACGGCAGCCTCTTCATGCATCCTCTCCCCTTTGCCTCTCAACCCAAGATATTTAGTATATTTTTTAAGATTCCATTGCTGTCAGTTGGTGAGTAAGAAGATCTTTGGGACAGAAATTCAACCGATTTGCAATGCGATGTTATCCATGTTTACTGAATAGTAGTCCCACTGTGTTCAGTGGCAGCTACTTCCATGTAATTCTATATATATAGGATCATAGCCTCTTGGAAGCCCATAAGCACATCTGTTCTGGTTCCTCAGCAGCTGTTGCATGATGCCATATTTCCAAGAACACTTCTTCATTTAGCTAGCTTGCCAATGTATACATAGGTACATTCAAAAGCTTAATGAAAATGGCTTGGGCATACATGTGAAGAGCTTGTTTTGGGGGGGATCGGAGTGTGCGAGAGAGGAGATGATTTCAAACGCATTTCAGAATATCTGCCTTCATTCTCAGCTCTCTGGGAGAGACCGACCCTCTCTCTACTTTTGTGCTCCAAAGAAACAACGAACCAGTGAACTCCACCCAAAATGGGTAAGGGGTGTGCAGTGATATGCTGCTGGAGATCTCTCTGAATCTATTTTTTTAGGATTTGTGTTGGGTTTGACTAATTTGTGAAGGCACTTCACAGAGGATTGCAGGGTAAGTTGGAGGCTGATGTCATGGAGGTGCTCCAGATTTTAGTTGGAATTTTACAGGAAATCTCCAAGGTGCTGAACTCCGATTCCAAAATAGAATCAGCATCTTGGTTAGCACCTGTGAAATCTAGACTAAAACTCAACAACAGATTCACTGCTCTGGTAAAATCGGGAGTGGCCAGACTCCTTTCCCGATGTAACACTCAACCCGTTTTTGTCTCCAATGAAATGGTAGTGAATCTCCAGGGCTTTGGGTGGGAATCTCTTCCCAGCTCTATGTGGGAATCTCAGTGCTGAACCTGCGGCCTTCAGCGTACAGAATATGTGCTCTGTTTTCTAAGCTGCAGTTCCTCCCCTCCTTAAAAATTAGATATAAAATTCGAACCCAAATTCAGACTTCCATAACTTGATGGGACATGAATTCCTGTGTATTTCTGATCTTAGCTGATTAGAACCATGGACGTTTTCATGTTCCAGATGCTTTGACTTTTCTAATGGGACTGATTGACGCTCTTAGTAAGGAGAGGTTCACCTTGTCAAAGTGCTGTTCAGCTACATGTGTGGATAGTGCAGGCATGATAGCGGTGTGACTGGGGAAAGCGTGCGAATATGAGGGAGATCGGCATGCGAGAAGAATGCCTTTGTCATGTCACTTGTGTATTTCCAAGGCGGGTTTCCCGGTGTCCGTTAACTTACCAGCCTTTTCTCCTCTGCAAATAATGCCCACTTCAAAGTTGTTGCTTTTTTTAAAAAAATAAAACACACACACATACACTTGTGGCTTTAATACCAAACCCCTTATGGTTCCTCCAGCACTCTGAACCGAAATGGTAGAGTGGTTTGTATGGAAAGCAGTCATGAACCCTAAGCCCTGACATTGCAGGAACATCACTGAAGTGATGAGTCAGTTTCTCCCAAGATTTCTTTAGGCTGAAGAGATCTTGCGTGCATAGCTTTCATCTCTCCAACATGGCTGCTAATGGACATCATAACAGATGGGTGCATGTAGGGTTTGGAGGGAAGAGGGATTCCCTTTAGGGTAGCTGGGTCTCATCTTTTCATAGCGTTTGTTTTCCATGTTCACCCTGACTTTGGCTCAGCCGGGTGTAGAATGTGAAGCCAATGCTGGCTGTGGAACAACTGCTATTACCAAGAACCTTGAATCCTCATGGCTTTGACATGGAGAAGTTTGTATTCACCAGTGCTCCTCTCCTCCTTTGATGGCTGCCCAGGGAACCTCAAATGTATTTTGGCTATGCAAAACTGCACAAAGCATGTCACGTGAGGGGTGCTGTAATTGGGCAGGGGTCTGCAGGGGTGTGTGTGACCTCTAGAGGTTCCAGCCCTGTCCACACTGACAGCTTCTCCCAACAGGGAGACTGCCGTATAGATGGAAGGATCTAGGGGGTTCAATCAGGAGGTGGTTCCACCAAAGCCAGTTCTAGGTCTTACAAAGCTTCTCCTGATCCCTGCAGGACCTGGAATCATTTCCCCTGGGTTGTCTCTGATTCATAAAGAGGAATGAAGGCGAAGGGAGAATCACAGTGGGATGGGGGAATCCCACTTTTGTTTTCAGATCAGTGAGTGAAGATAACAGCAGGACTTCCTGTTGCACCGTTCTGCGTTGGGAAGACAGCAGGCATGTGGGAGATTCTCCCTACATCAAGGATGGGTTTTCCCACATCCTCTACAGACATGATTAAGCTAGAGGGTTACAGGTTCTGTTAAGTTTGCTGTAGCATCTAGCCGAGACAATGATGCTGTCATCTATTTATGCATAGATTTACCGATCTACAGCAAATGTATAGATATACAGCAGTTTTGTGTTGGTGTTGATACTGTGGTGACCTATGGTTTTAAACAATAATGCTTGTTCTGTTCTATTCTGTGCTGAAGCAATTGGGTTTATCAAAGTCCAGAGAAAGGATGATGAAATGCTATCTCAGGATATGGGCCTGGGACATGTTAAGCTATTGGTTTTCCACCCGCTCCTTGATGTCATTGTGCACCTGCCTTTCTTTGTTTGATGGACCTCAGGATTCTACAGAGGGTTAAAAGGCAGACCTCATTGCCTGAATTGCATCAGAATGCATCAGGTCTACTTGCGCCTTCTGCCTGGAAGCTGGCCATTTGGGCAGAGAAAGGGCAGACTATTTTATGGCCACATCGACCCTGCAGTGTATCTCTGCTGCAAGGGATGGGAATGGCCCCTCTCCCCAGTAGAACCTGTTGCAAAAAGGCGACCTGGCTGGCGTTTAGTCATACAGAGGGGCAGCAGGTGCCCTCTTCTATGGCTGGTACTTTGGGCTTCAAGGTGCCTTTAGCAATTTAGTTCCACCTAATTTCATGCAATTGATGACTCACTGACCTAGATAAACCAATTTTAGAGAAGAAAATAGTAGGTATTCCTTAAGTGATGCGTAAACCATTGCTGGTGTTTATCATTGCTTTGGCTCTATCAAGTGATTCCCCCATCAGCATGTCAGAAAGGAGTCTTTCTTTGAAACCACCCCAGCAAAAGGGGGGAGGAGGCAGGGAGGAGGAGAGAGGAGGAAAAACTGCTGCTTATGCTGCAGAGTGCAGAAATTTGCAGACAAAGCCTCCAGTCTCTGCAAACCGCACCCACATCTTGACTGCGCACAGCGCTAAATTTATAATCAATCTCATTTATTGCTCAATGCAGTGCTACTGAGGCAGCAGCTGGTTAATTAATACAAGGGCTAGCGGAGAGAGGGAGATAATGTGTGTGGCGTGTGTGTGCGTATATGCAAAGCTGCAGATGCAGTGCTTCGACCCTTCTCTTCAACTTTCTTCGTCAACGTATTAAAAGATAATTAAAATGGCCCCAGGATTTCTTCAACATCCTATGTTCTTTGGAGGCTTTCGTGGGGAGAAAGGGAGAGAGAAAGAGCGAGCCATGTGGCGGTTAGCAGTCACAATCCCCCCTGCCCAATTTCTTCTTGCTTTTTAACTCTAAGGTGTAGATCAACAGTCTATTGATAGCATGATTTTGATCGTGGCAGATGCAGGACATGCCCGATGCCAGGGCTGCAAAAATCCATGTGTCGCTTATTGGAAAAAGCTTTACCGGGCAGGGATTTAGCCTTCTCTTTGCAGACCTTTCTGTTGTGCCACTTTTTCACATGTTTTTTCCATGAAAACCATTTCAAGAACGATCCCAAAGAGGGAAAGCTCTGGATTGCTAAATAGCCCCAAGAAAAGTGCCTTGGCAGCTGCTGCGTGGAGAGAGCAGCCAAGCACCCCTGTCCGTTGTGCGAAGCTGAAACCCCTTTGCATTTGGCAGGTGAGCGGAGCTTTGAACTGGAAGGCCAAGCCTGAAGAGTTTGTGGCAGCAGAGGATACGTGCCTGTAGGAACCAGTTAGGCTCAAGGAGCACAAGCAGGAGTGTACCTGCTAATAAATGAAAGTTGGAAACTGAAATTGAGCCAAGGAAAGCAAACTCCTGGAAAAACTATGCGAACTGAGCCAATCCGCATGCCTATTTTGAGTAATTTGCTTTGTAGTTTTTTAAGACATGGGAGGAGGGGCAGCGGTGTTGGAGCCCCAATCAGGAGCAATCTTAATTAGCCATTGCTTTGGACTTGTGGGAAAAAAAATGCATGCTGGAGTTGTAATGAAATGGAATGAAAAATGACCTTTTGTCCCATGCAGCAACTTTTTTTTTTTGAGACACACTTATAGCTGGTCTTACTGCTGTATTACTAAGTTTGCTTCCAGTCTTCCCTGCTTTGTGTTTCTATCACTGTTCAGTACACTGATTAAAATGGTATAAGAATGCCCTTGCTTACAAGCCTCCGCCCTCCAGCCCTATTTGTAAAATTGATATAAAAATCCTGACCCAGTTTTCAGAGCAGCTGTAAGTATTGTATGTGAGAAAGCAACAGATTCATGTGCAATGCAACTCTTTTCATTTCCAGGAGGCGGTGGGGTCAGTGGCGGTGGCGATAGCAACTATAATGATGGTAAGTTCCCTCGTCCCGGGAACTGCATTTTCTTTGAATTGGCTCGCCTTCCCTCGCTTGCAGGAGGTTGAGATACCTGCTGCCCTTCAAATTTTGAACAATGCCCATCGCTCCATCTCTCGGCCGGACTAGTGGCAGCTCGCGGGATGTCGTTTTGATACATCCAGAGTGTTTTAAGTTTTGCAGCTGCGCCTTACACTTGAGTAGATCTGTGAGCCTCCCAACTAAACTTGCAGCTTGGATTTAATTTTTTTTCTTTCTCCTTGCACCACAAACAATTATGTAATAATACGGGCAAAACATTCCTTCTCTACCTTATGAAGATTACCATGAACCACACATTTGTGAAGATTGTGGAGGCATTGATTGGGTCATTCTCGGGCAACGACCACTCTGTCAGCTGATCTTTCCACTCCACTCTGGAAGCACCACTAGATTTGCTTCTGATGTGAACCAACCAGACGACAACTATGAAACACAAAATATATTCTGTGTGCCTTCGAGAATACGCAAATTACCTCCACATTTGCAGGAGTGCCCCAGCATGCTTTTTTCACTCCAGTGGGAGTTAGAAACAGAGGCACAGTCAGTAAAATTGTATGGCTTTGCTTTGGAAATAATTAAGAGCTGCCAAATCATTGTGATGGTAGGGTAGTTTTAAATGTTGCTATCCAGGCTTTTCTGAGAATAAGCCTAACTTAATATTCTTCAAAACAACGTCAGTAGGGCATAGTGACATAGGTTGTTAACCTCCTTCATGTGGAGTTTTCAATGTTATCATTCATCTTATCAAAAAAGATGAGTTCACAGTGTAGTCGGAAATGTAAGGCCAACACATGATCTGGAAGGAGGGAGCTCCCCAGTCCCGGAGAAACAATCAGAGAGAGCCTTATCTCTGTGGGAAATGTACTAATTTCCTTGCCAAAGGGAGGCCATCAGAAAGGAAGGAGAGCATGAGCACCAGGATTGTGGGAGAAATAATATGCCTCTTGGGGATTTAGAGGTATCCCATAACTTCCACAGTCCTTGTACTCATGGCCTCCTCGCTCCCATGCAGACTCTCATTCAGCGTTACTTCCTTCGTTATGCGATAGTTAAACGTGAAAGGGCAGAATGGTTTGTACTCCAAACCATGACTGCAGGCTTCAGTTTGGTTTGCAGTCCTTGTTTGGGGGAATTAAGCAGAAGTTAGTGCTCTTTTACCAGAATGGGGAAGTTGTCAATTGCGGTTGCCCACCAAACCACCTTGATAACAGAGTCTGAAAACCTGCAAGAGCACAAGTGACAGGTTGACCATTTTGCATTAAGTCGGAAGCAAGTCTCTTCGAATCACAGTACACGGGAGGCAGTTTCCAACGGTGGGTAGGAAACAAGCCAACCTAAGAGCAACAAGCTGATACGGCAGGAACAAAGAGGTTCATCTGGACCTGCATTGAATGTCTTCTTTCTGGGTGGGCTGCATTGTTAGCATGTTTCTCCAACCTTTTTTTCTTTTTCTTTTTTCAGGCGCCCTGGTAGAGACCGGGACGATTGCTGGTATTGTCAGCGGCCTGGCCATGGCATTGATTGGTGCTGTGAGCAGCTACATCTCCTACCAGCAAAAGAAGTTCTGCTTCAGCATACAGCGTAGGTTTCTGTGTTTTCTCCTGGACTGTGTTCTCCGTTTAGCCATCTCTGACCTTCACCACTACTGTCAACATGCCGGAATCTCTCCATTGTAGCTGGGAAATTTCCTTAATCCTGATTTAGAATTCAAATAGAATTTTAATTCTATTAAACTCATTGTCAACTTAATAGCAGCGTAATTCTAAACTGAATTTTGGAATGGAATCAAGATGTCCAGTCTATTTCCGCTGGAAGCTTCAGCTGCTGAATAGCAGTAAAGGCTAACTAGTAAAAGAAAAAATAGAGAAGGTGAGAAAAAAAAAATAGAGAAGGGGATGCCAAAGCAGTGAGCTTTTGAGAACCTGTATGGAAGACATCCTACGTATGACCGATTCCTGTTGAAGTAAAAGCAAGAGTGCTTTTCGTGTAAATTTTCACTCCTTGCAGATCAACTGGAGGAGCTCCTGCAGCTCTGATATGCAAGAAACAGTCACAGCTATGGGCATGTAGAGGCTTCCTTGCATAGGTCCAGTTAGTAAAGGACTGGCAGCTGAATGGAACACAGCTGTCCACGAAAAGTGGCTGGCATGGCTCATTTGCCGGGAAAGACCACGTTTCCATGAGGATTCCATAGCACAGAGCAACAGTGGGCGAAGGGCACCCTTGCTGAGAGTCAAAAGCTTCGTCTGCTCAATACCTTGTGTTATTCTATAGCCCAGTCTGTGTAGCGTATTGTGGTCTTGACTGTTATGAATACATATTGAAGTCACTTGTGCAGAACTAGATAGCTAAGTCGACAAATGTGGGCTGTAGTATAGAAACCGGTTGAAAAATTTTCAATCCGTATAGGGTGAACTGCATAATTCCTGTTTAAATTGTTTTATCCCTTTTTTTCCCCTTTTTTACTGCAGTGGTCTTAAGAATGTTAAGTTCTTTACAGAAGGGAGTTGTTGTATTCTCTGAATTTGTTTTTTGATAGTTGCCCCATGAAAATGCTTATTGCACATTTAATTGGTATTAATACTGTCTCCTTTGGCATTTAATTTTCTTTTGTTCTTGTGGGTTTTCCGGAGTCTTTGGCTGTGTTCTGAAGGTTGTTCTTCCTAACGTTTCGCCAGTCTCTGTGGCCGGCATATTCAGAGGACAGGAGTAGCACTCTGCACTCTGGTGCTACTCCTGTCCTCTGAAGATGCCAGCCACAGAGACTGGCGAAACGTTAGGAAGAACAACCTTCAGAACACGGCCAAAGAGCCCGAAAAACCCACAACAACCATAAGATCTCGGCCATGAAAACCTTCGCAAATACATTCTTTTGATTCTTGGTTTCTTCTGGGGAGAGACTGCTGAAACATTGTCCAGGAGTAATAGTCTTATCTTGGATTTCCCCAAAAGATGTACTTGAAAAACAGCCCTGTATCTCTGATCTGTTGTGTCAAGTAAGTAAATATGGATCCCATTCCATCACTGGGAAGGTAGTGGGGTTAACAGCTTGAGTATTGGAGTTCGGAACAGGAATAGTCCATATTCAGTCTCAGTGCAGGCATAAAAATTTAAGGGGCAAAAGTTCCTGTTTCTTAATCCACTCTTTAAGTTCAGCCACAGATTGTGGAAAAATATGTCTATACATGTTTCAGGATCACACCCTTTTTGGCATCAGCCTTGCTGTATTTGAATGGACAGTCCTGGTTGCTATAACACTGCTTCTTACAAAAATTTTTTAAAAAAATGCTGGCATGTAATGTTTGCCCGTGTTGGTGGTTTGGGTGACAACATTGCCTCCTCTTCACTGTTTTCAGAGGGCCTGAATGCAGAGTACGTGAAGGGAGAGAACATGGAAGCTGTGGTGACTGAAGAACCACAAGGTATCTTTAATTTCTGGAATGGCAAAGCTACTTCACTCTGGGATAATCCTTGTTGACAACCTTGGGCTGACAACACACTAGTTTGCTGACAACTCCACCCAACAAGACTGTTAAGGTGGCTTCCGGCTAAATTAAGTTGCACTCTATCTGGTGCAAAGATGTTCCAAGTGTCATCTAAACATCTTCTGAAGGTGGTCCTAGTGAGAAAGGGATGGCATCCAAACAGTCCAGGTTCACAGCTGACTGCTTAGCTGGTGCAACTTCAGTACATAAGCCATAAAAAAAAATTAAATAGCTCAGACAGCAGCATCAAAATACAGCAAGCGTATAGGAAATATGTGAGAGATCATTCAGAAATGTTCATGACATGAAATGGAACTAGGCATTAGATCCAAACAGTGTACTTATTTCTGGAAATGAGTTCACCTAATCAGGATGTTAATTTAAATGTCTGGTATCTTCCCTGCTATATTTGAAAGGTATTTTTATTGCAAGGTAATGTCCTTAGAGAAGGGACGTGGTGGCGCTGTGGGTTAAACCACAGAAGCCTCTGTGCTGCAAGGTCAGAAGACCTGTAGTCGTGAGATCGACTCCACGTGATGGAGTGAGCTCCCGTCGCTTTTCCCAGCTCCTGCCAACCTAGCCATTCGAAAGCATGTAAAAATGCGAGTAGATAAATAGGTACCACCTCAGTGGGAAGGTCACAGCGTTCCTGTCTAGTCACGCTGGCCACGTGACCATGGAAAACTGTCTACGGACAAACGCTGGCTCTACGGCTTGGAAACAGGGATGAGCTCCACCCCCTAGAGTTGGACACGACTGGACAATTTGTCAAGGGGAAACTTTACCTTTACCTAATGTCCTTATTGGTAAGAAACAACAAAATGAAGGACTGCACAAGAAAAAAGGTTAGGACTTATTTTAAAAGAACATGCTACAATAATGGTAAAATATACCAGATGGGCGGGATATAAATTGAATGAATGAATGAATAAATGAATACTGGGATCCACCAATATTGTTAGAAAGTTTCAAAAAGTGCACCATATATTCAAGGTTTACAATTCAGGCTTGGTGTTTGGGGCACTGCTTAGATTTCCAATACAACAGTGTTTCACTAGTTTTATTTTAAATAGGCTACTGAAGAACACAGGTTGTCGCATCGATCTGGCCCGATTTATTTGTAAATTATGACTGAGCAACATTTACTTTTAACCGCATACAAACTTTTATTCTGTGCTGCCCAGCTCATTGGCACTACATGCACTACTGTATTGGCTATATGATTTTACTAATGTTATTATGACTTCAAGAAAACAGATTGTGTCCTGTAAAACGTTTAGTTTAAAGTGCACTTCTACATTTTTAGTGCTAGGTCCTGAGCAACTTTACTCTTGCGCAGTCCTTAACCGGATTCTTACCCAAAACAGCCCACGAATTTGGCAAGTGTGCAGGACTGCAGGCAATTCAATCAGGTGGAAGTTTGTGGAGGCAAAAACTTTTTTTAAAAAAGTGGAAAATGCTGTCTTCTCAATACCGCATTTCAGCTGAAGAATGTAGACATGAAATCATAAGTACTTCAGAGAATGATTTCTTGTATGTTCAGGTTTACTATGGTGTGGACTCACCTTTTACCTTTTTTTCTCTCCCCCCCCCCTTAGTTAAATATTCTGTCCTAGAACCACAGTCAACAGAACCACCTCCGCCGCAAGAAAATGCAAAGGTGTGAATCCTAGGCTTGAGCCAGACAAGAATCAGGCAACGGCAAACACAAAACACACATGCTTCTCACATGCTTGTAATTTAGCTTTTTACAAACATTTGATTTGGTTCCAAAGCTATTTAAATGTGCGTTCTTCTGACTAGGACAGGCTTCTTATCGTGATAGGCTGTAGGCTGATTGAAATGTTTCTTCCGGTTTTTATTTTTGTGCGTGAAGAGTTGTAGGTTTACATTGACATGGTCATGTAGGAGTTTTGTCAGATTGAATACCGAGTACAAGGGTGCTTTCAAAGTGGTGTTTCATAGTAGAGATAGGTTTTCATGAACAATGGGGGGAAAAGCAGCTGACGTAGTGAGTACAGGTGTGAGAACAAATGAAGTGCCTGTAAATTAACAATCCAAAGCAAACCATTTTTTTAAAAAAAAACCTTTGTAAAATAACTTTTAGCCGAATTTTGGCTGTTGACATCCATCAGTGGCAGCTTCCGCTGACAACGGTGAAAGTTACAAGGGAGCTGCAGGGTGGAGTTTGTGTAACGACACCTCGAAATAATAATACAAGTAAGTGCCTGTGGGGTAATTAGTCTTTGTTTGACAGCAAACAGCTAGTACCATTGCCTTGTCCAACTGGGCTTCACTATAGCTATAAACAACCTAGTTTTTTTGCTACCAGAACCCTATGCAGGTAGTCGTTGTGTATGCAGTGTTTCCTATTAAAAATCCAGGGATTTTTTTCAGGAGTTCAGAAACAAGCCTCTACCCCTAAACCATGATGGCTCTCGTGCCGGCCACAGGAAACAAAATGAAAGAAAGCTTTTTTCCCCACCCCTGTATAGTTTCATAGACTTTGTGAGCATAGATTCTAGATTGTGTTTTCTTTCCCCCCAGCTTTATATGCTATGTTTGAATTCCAGGGACTGGAAGCCCAACTCAATGCAATATACTGCACTGGCCTCTGTGAGAATTTGCATTCCAGGGACCTTATGCAATGCTGTGGTGGAGTTGGAAGGGTCTACACCCCCCCCCCAGTCTTTCCCCCAAGTTAGAGATGGGTGCTTATAGGACAGAGATTAATAGCCTCCCAGTAGTGGAAGGTTTCTTCAATTTACCCCACCCTGCTAAAACAGAATTGCTGGTGTTCTTGGTCCATGTTTTATGTCATCCTGCAGATTCACCATGCATAGCTGGGAATATTGTGAGATAAAATGACTTATAGATTGTACCTCGTTAGCATGGAAAGGCCGGGGGGTGTGTGGGAGTGGGGAGAACAACATGGATTTTATGTGCCTCTTGACATGAGTTCTGTCCCTACTCTTTAGTTGAGCGGCACTTGGACATCTTGAAATTTTATCAAATTCCGTTATAAATTTACCAGATGGGCGGGATATAAATCAAATAAATAAATAAATTCCATCCTCGACAATGTAGGAGCTGGAAGAAACAGATCCAGCATGCATGTGATCTAGCAACAGGATCAGGGTGACTGCGAACTATCTTATTACATAAAACCTAGTTACTTACTTTTTAAAATATTGCCAGTTCGGGGTGGGGTGGGGTGTCTATCCAGACCACCTGCCATTCCACTTGACTAAGTCCTGCAGGTAGTTTTTCGGTGGGAGTCGTCTACCGAGCTGCATCAGAGCTAGTCCAGTCTTCCAGCAAGGGCCGTTCTGCATCTCAAGACAAGAGATCCTTTTCCCAGTGCGCCTGCTTGAACTTTCTTCTTGTTTTCTTTTTCCTTCTAAACGAGAAGTATCTTAACGTCTTGTTCCTTACAAAGTGTTGCTGAGCCCTGGAGTAATTTGAGATCAAAATCTGCCCCAGATTATTTTTAGAGTATGTGGTTAATGGCCCTATGTTTCACCACTGTATTAAGGTGCCCCACTGTTGCACCTTGTGAATAAGCTATGATATTTTTGAGCCATCTGAAGGGATATATAGTTTTTTTTTGGGGGGGGGGGTTGTTTTTTTTTAAAGTTTAAATATAAACCTGGCCTATCCATAGTATGTATTATGAAGGAGTGAAAAAGGAACCTCTGTGTACCTTTCCAGATTCTGTCTCTTTACCAACTAATCTTGAGTCTTTATTTATTGATATTTGTACAGGAATCTGGAAACATTAGTACCCTGGTCCTATAACAAGGGAGAGCTAAGCCTATTCAAGCATTTTGTTGCATAGACAGAATCGCCGTGCTTCTAGGAAGCCCTTAAGACTCATCCTTCTCCCTTGTTGCTTCCTCTATGCAGAAAGGTGACGTTAGAGGGGAGACATTTCAGTTTGCAGGGAGATTCTACATGCCGGCACAAACCTAAAAGTTCCTGCTCCCATGTATACCCTGCCTGCAAGCACACTCTGCAGAAAGTGTGGAGGAAGCGACAGCAAAGAGTGAAAAGTCTACCTCTGTCCTCATCGAGTAGGGATCTGCGTTTAGGCAAAAACAGTTTCCAGCTTGCTGGGCAGACGCTTTTGAGCCACATAGAAGTGTCAAGATGAATTCCTTAACCCAGGACATCTGTGATTTAATAATGCTAGATTAGGAGGCAGAGGTGTAATTAGGATGAGACATTTTATTCCTGAGATTCTTGACCTTTTATATGCTTGTTTGGGGCAAATCCTTCTGATTTCAGTGGCATTTGCTTCTATGTAACGGTGATAAAACTGTAGTCTAGATGTTGGATAACGGCTGTGGAAATTCATTCTGCTGTTTTTTTAAATTTTATTTTGTAAGTTGTGTTTCAAAAGCCTTATAGTAGTTTTAAAGAAATAGATATATTTTGAATGTATTGAGCTCTCCTGATAATGCCACAGTACTCTTTTCTTTGTCCAAAGTTTTTGTTTTACTGTGGGCTTCTATGAGATTAAAAACAGGAGGGGAAATAGTTAAAGAACCATAGCTTTCTTGCTTGTTGCAGTGTGCTTTATAGCTACCAGAAGGGAAGCCACTAAAAATTAGTTCTGCATTGTGGGACTCTTGACATCTGGGGAGAGGGATATTTGCCAAAATGGGACAACCTACCTGGTAAGCAGCCTGGTGGAACCACAGCCATGGAAGTTACCTGCATGATTTCCACATTGGCGGTTGCCCTTAGATATTGCAGAATAGGTTTTTAGGAAGGTTGTGGTTTGCAAATTTTGCAGAGCACAATTAAGTCCCCCGCTACCACAGCTGAATTTACATAATGACATATTTTGAACTACTGTAGCATATCTTTTTTTTAAATTTTTTTTTTAAGTCAAGTACATCAAAGATTAGAGTAGCATAAAGTAGTGCATCTTTAGATAGATAGAGGGGAGATAATAATAAGTGTTGCTATGACACTAGTACTTGGACTAGGAGTCATTTTCTCAGATAGATGAAGTAAATATAATTCCTTATTTCTATTTGCCAATGATGGGAAATGTTTCTGTAGATGTAAGTTGTCAATTTTGTTGTATTTCTATTTACTGCACTGTTCTGCCACTGATCGGAATCTTGAAATACGGTGCTTCTCAGTGTTTAAAAATGACCCACTAATCACTTAACAATATTTAAAATGTGTACGAACTGCAGATTTTTGGGAAACGAACAAAAACAGCAGTTTCATTAAGAAAAACACCAGATTTTCAAGATGTGAACATAGATTTAACCTTTAGGATACTTCCTTCCCCAAAAGCCTTTTTATATGAATTTGGTAAATGGTTATGCCTTAATGTAAATTTTAGGTAGAATATACTATAAAAATGCACAGCAAAATGGGAGCAAAAAAGAATTCGACAGCAGTACAATTTACCATCCAACACATTATTATTGAGGTCTTTAGAAATAAATTTTATACATATCCTGATGGAGAGCATATATACTATCTAGAATATCCACCAGATGTTATAGATACATGTACTAAATTCACTCTCCATTTGAAAGTCTACAAGTAGCAGCTGTCTTCTCTCGTTCTTTGTGCTACAGCAGCAACTAAAGCCCCCCCCCCAACAGTGACCTCTTAATTTACCTGCCTCCCCACCCAGGAGTTGTAATTCCAAGCTTATAATACTTGTTTTGTGTTTTAATAGAACTTACGAGACCCCGTCAACCAGAGCTGAGGCAGGCAAACCGTTTTAAAAGTTAAGCATCTGGTTGCTCCTTAGTGTATGCTCAGCACAGGAACTGGTGGCCAATGACAGAGATGAGCTCAAAATGCCTTCCGCACACACAAAAAACCCCATTTCTGTCTTTTTCAGCACTGCCATTTAGGAGGGAACAACTCCTTAGTTATTGCTTATGGCACACAACAGGGAGGCAGAAATCTATGCTGACTAGTAGCAAAGAAATAAATCCAGAAACATTCTTGTGAATCCCAAATCTTTTACCTCTGGCCAAAAAGAGAAGGGTTGAAAGGAGCAAGTTACCAGCAAGCCGCCCTAGAAGAATATTGAGCCAGAATATCCTGCTTCATTCTCCCTACACAAACATATGGATTGGGGTGGGGTGGGTTAGCCTTCCAGATGTTTCTGGACTAATTGCATTGGTTACAGTTGGCGAAGTGAATGAGGTCTGATGGGTCCATGGACATCAGAAGTTGCATTACACATTGCTGATGTACAAAAGGCGAGAGAAGTGCAGTTAATTGAGTTGTGTTGCTGTTGACCCTAACTGGGAATGGATCTGCAACAAAGTTCTCAGGAAAACAGAGATATGATATACTTTTCCAATCACTTGATAGCAGAGATGCCCAAGATTGAAGCTGGGGGTCTTCTGCAGGGAAAGCATTTGAAAAAACAAGCACCAAATTATGACCTCTCCCCAGTGAGACCTTTCTGTTGTCTGTACATAAAACCAACCATCTCTTTGGCTTCTCCCAATTTCTTTGTAGTGGTGCCAACTGTGTAGTACAATACCTCAAAGAGATCCATTTGTTTTTCTACTCTGCTTTTTTCAAAACACACACACATATTCATAACTGAAAATATCTGTGCACTTGAAAAGCAGTGTAAATAAGTTCAGCAAGATGTTCCAGAATAGGTCAAATAGCATGCATTAAAGTCTTCCATCAGGCCAAAGATGTATATAAGACCCATTTTGTGCCCTGCATTTATACACCGCAGACACACTTGCAAGCAAAGAGAAGAAAACTGATTTGAGAAAGCATTTCTCTGAATTCTGTAAAGTTACAAGAATATTGCTGGGGATCAAAGCACTTGATTTATCCCTCTTGGTTTACTCCATTCCCTCTTTGTTAACTTCCATCTTTCTCAGCAAAACGTTTTCAGCCAGAACATCCAGCAGTAACTGTTGCAAGCTTTGTTGATGGATTATTTGCTGTTGTATGAACTGGTGTTTATCTGAAAGAGGTGCATGACTTTACAAACAAAATAAAGCTAAAGCAAAACAATTCGTGGGGGGAGGGAATAATGCAGGAAAACCCTGAAAGCAGAGTAAAAGAGTAGATGGATCGTGCCCAAAAGACACCAAGCTTTTATTTAAGCAGTACATACATATCTTTGGGTAATATAGAGATGATTTGTCCTAGATGAAATCTGACCATTATGCTATCAAAGGCAGACTCATTTTGCTGAAGTGCATATAAGAATTATGGGGGAGGGTATCTGCCCTTGATTGCTGAACTACAAACTGGAAAACAATAAAAGAGAGGCTGACTTGTACAACAATACTGTTTATGTGTTTGTGTGTCTGTGCATTCAAACAAGAGGGTCCAATAGTTTTGCTAAATACAAGGGATAAGATAAAAGCTCCTGAGTTTCTCTTCTGAGAGGAAGTCAGGCCACTGACTCTGCTAAAAGGGAATAATGCTCGGGGGACTCGTGAAAAGCGTCTCTCACCCAGCACACGTTAAGGTGCTTTTCTATTGCCCACTTTCAGCTGACAGAGAAAAAGCGGAGGTTACCCCCTCCTGTTAAAATGGGGTGAACAGGAGACTCCCTTGTTTTGTGTCTTTGAGACAAAATGAGCCCAGGATGCTACCTTTGGCTGTTCCTCTCGAGACCGAAAGTTAACAGCTCAGTCGTAGGCGGAGGAAGGCTCCTACCATACCAGCTATTCTGAAAGCTGTCACACAGACAACCTGCAAAGCCAAAGTAGGCCTCAAGTGGGACTTCAGATGTTTTTCTCTGAACAGCTGAATGCTACACTGCGTTCCCAATTGTTTCTGAAAGCTTTCGAAACTGTTTTGAAAGCTAGCCGAAGTGGGGCTGTTTGAGGAAACGGAAGCCTGAATACCTGGAAGGCAGGCACAACCTAGTGCTTCAAAAAAAAGGGCAAAAGGAACAAGCCGGAGGGCACCCACAGGGGTTGACCGGCCAAGCCACCAACCTGCGGCCTCCCTCTCTCATTTCAGAACCATTGTTCACCGGCCTTATTAAACTGCAGACGGCTAATGGGGGATTACAATTCCTACTGTATCTCCTCTCTCCAATCTGTCCCACCCATGCCTGCCTTCCTATTGCTGGAGAGATTTTTGTGAATATAGGAAAGGGAGGTGTGTGTGTCTTTGGCCCTTGGCCATGATGCATGCAAGCCTCCAAAGGCCAGCCATGAAACAAGAGGGCCCTTGGGGGAGATACCGCTCTCCTGATTTGAAGTCGTCTCCTGCGGTAGGAGATGAAGAATGTTACCGCCATGCTCCTCCACCCACCCCAACCCTTCAGTGTGTACCAAACAGTTAAAAACCTTGCACTGGAATGGAATTCAAGGAGTTTAAATGCTTACCTGTTATTAGCAGTTTTCCCCCTTCTGAAATACATCTGAACATTAATTTAGCGTCTAAGGAGCAGGCGTCTGTTTTACAGTTCTAAGACACTTCCACCAATAAGTGGACTTCATAGGATTTTCATGAACAACAGCAAATTTACTGTTAGAAGGGGAACAGCTAGTGGTGAAAGAAAACACTGCATCATAAATGTCAACATCTGGGCATGAAATCAACATGGATCAAAGAGAAAAGATCTCCGTGAGGACTGGAAGAGACTGAACAACACAGTTGTGAAGGGGTAGCAACCAGGCTTTTTGCAGGGGAGATCCAGAGAACAGGTCCTGTAAAGTCAACAACGGAACCTCCCCTCCCCAGCCCGTAATGCTACCTAGCCTTTCCCAAGCCAGGGAGTAGCAACCCAGCACCTGAGACACACACACACACACACACTGGAAGACAGCCAAACTACTCCTAAAGAGCAAGTGTCACTCATGCAAGCCCTGCGGGGGACTGGCAAGCATATTGCAGGCATGGCAAACTTTTTTTTAGCAGGGGGTTTGGGCCAGAAGTGAAGCGGGACACAGACATAATGTGCACACATCATTCACACATGTGCACAGAGCAGTCCCCAAAGTGGCGGTTCTGTAGCAGTGAAAAGGGAACTTCTCCTTGAAGGTGCTCCAGCATCCTTGAAGCCATGGCTCACAAGTAAAGATGGGCGCAAACCTTGGTTTGGAGCTAGGTGCTGTGCGTCCCCTTCCTACACCTCCCTGGCTGGACCCCCCCCCACACACACACACACTCAGGCGAGGCGGGACAGGCCAGCCCATGCTCCTGCTGGGGACTGGCTGAATTGCCGAGGAGGAGGAGGAGAAGGAGGAGTGTGTGCCAGCTGGTGAGTGTGGCACTGGCCACGGAGGCGGAGGAAGGGAACGTGTGGCACCTGTAGTACGAACTTCCAAAATGAGGTTCATGCCCATCTCTGCTCATGAGGAAGCCAACTCTCTGCATATCCCTTGTCTTTCCTGATGGAGGAATCAGGAATCAAAAGCTACGGTTCTTCACTCCTGTTTTGCTTAGAATAAAACGTCTAGAACGGCTTTTACAAAACCATGCCAGACTTTATTATCCCCTGGAACTCAATTATAATTGCTTTCTTTAAAAATGTTTTTTTTTTAAAATATCATCATCCCAATCACCACCACTATCACAACAGATTGTTTTCTCCAGTCTGTTTGGAGTATTTTCGGTATGCCCTGATTCCATAGGACTGTCTCAGCTTGCATAGACTTGGATGCAGGAAGAATAACAGATGGCTCCTGTATACAATTCTTTTAAAAACTGAGGCTAAGATAAAGAAAATATTTGGATCTGCCGTTCACACATCTAGATGTTTTAGTGAGACAAAATTTCCATTTGTAACTGAGGAGGTTTCTCTATATAAATTAATTACGTGATTGAATCAATTCAGCATTTCACTCAATGAAAGTGGACAATAACTACAGAACACTTGAAAAAAATATTATTCGATAATCTAGGCTTCAAAGATTATTTAACAACAGCCTGGTGGCTCACAGGTGGCAAATCCTGTCTATTATTTTAATGGCATGTTTATTCAAAATATACAACTGTGTATAGTATTAAAAAATTAAATTGTTTTCAAAGTGCATTGTCAGATCATACACAACTATTCCAAGAAACACAGTTATCTGCTGTGGCTTTTGCCTCCTCTCTCAAGAAAAAAAATGTGCATCAAATACCAAGGAAACCAAATGAGGTCCCCCCTCTTAGAAACTATGGCCACTTGGCAATTTTGTCAGGAAACACTAGGAAAGAGCGTGTTCTTCGCACCATCAGCCTGGCTTCTGACTGGCTTGCCACAGGTTGCTTAAGATAAAGTCAATTTTCAATTGTCAATTCAGTTAGAGGCCTCAAAAAGACATATGGGGGGAAACTAGCAACCAGTGTACTGGGCAACAAAATACATTTGGCCTTTTGGTGAGGCAGGCACCAGGAAGAGGCAAGGCTGCCCCGTAACACTTAGGCGAAAGGATGTTCTCTTGGTGGGATCTGTGTACCTTGACCTTCGGCCTCGCGCTACACAGAGGTGTGCACTGGTGTGGCTGCAGGAGACGAGCCCCGGTCAGAAGAGGACGAAATGGAGCGGGTTGCTGCTTCCCGTTGCAGTTCTTCCACTCTCTTCTGAAGCTCAGCTCGGATGGCCAGGAGTTCTTTCAGGTTCTGATGAATTGGCATCTGTTGGAAATTGACACTTTTTAAAAAAAATATTAACACGCTTTTTATCTACCAGCATATAAAAAAAGAGAGAGCAAAAATTAAAAATAAAATAAAAAAATTGGTGCTCCCACGTTTCTTTTGAAAGTGATGCTCTCAATAAAATTTGCTCTCTAATAAACACGTCAACTCATCCAGGAGGAAGGTTAGAATTAACAGTACGGCAAAACAAGCAGCTGCGGAACATGAACGCTCTCCGTGCTGGAGGCCATCAGAAGGGGAGAAGGGGCAGATGGGTCTCCTTTGGCAGGGAGTCCCAGAGTCGAGACACAACCACAGAGAAGGCAATTTCTTCTGGATGAAATCCCCGCTCTTGCTATTGGCCTTCTGGATGTTAAGCCCTTGAATCAACTCCTCCTCGAATCAATTATATCTTACTTAATAAATGAGTAGCAATGCCTGGTGAAAATTAGTGGGACGGGCAGGGAGTGACTGCAGAAGAATGGCACGCCATGTTAATACCCTCTTTCATTTTTGTTTTTTTAAAAGTTTTTGTGGTCAGGAAAATGAAAAAGGTCCCCTCTGTTATGGACTTTAATCCAGAAAACTCCAGTGTTGATTCAATGCCACATTAGTTTTAATACAATTTTTTTCCCCTTAAGTTTCAGAACAGGTGCTAATCATTCCCATGCAAATCAAGAGGACAAGCGAGGTAGAGGTGGGCACAAGGATTGTGGACAGGTATATATTGGAACCAAAAAATGCAGCATTCACACCAGAATCAAAGAACATGAGACACACCACAGACTAAAACAACCTGAAAAATCAGCAGTGGCTGAACATGCCCTAAAACAACCTGGATATGAAATTCTATTTCAAAATACTGAAGTACTGGACAACACCAGCAATCATTATGTTAGACTGCCCAGGGAAGCCACTGAAATCCATAAACATCAACATAGCTTCAAAAAAAAGAGGAAAGTCTGAAACTGAACAAGGGCTGGCTTCCAACACTGAAAAATACAGCCTGCAGAATGTCAACAAACTCTATCCAGCCACAAGGAATTGGGATCATTGCGCAAAAGAGACCAGCTAAAGACACCCATCAACCACAGTGACAGATAATCTCTCCTACTTATCACAACAATACATCCACAACAAAACCACGCTGATCACCCTATCTCCTGAATAGGACAAAAGCTGTTCCCACAGCTATAAATACTCAACTATCCAACAAACAGCAACAGAGCATGGACAGAGTTCCTACTCCAGGCCTCTGAAGATGCTGGCCACAGAGACTGGTGAAATGTCAGGAAGAACATGGCCAAAGAGTCCAAAAAAACCCACAACAACCAATTTAGAGGAGTCTTAGTCTGGAGTTTCTGGGCATCTCTACTGAGGGAATATCTACACTTCAGGACACTACTGTGGCTGCTGTGAAATGGCTACTGGATGCATCTTGCTTTTGCATGCCATCATACCTGCCTGGTTGGGCCCTGATGCATTTTTGCAAAGAATAAAATGATCTTCTCTCAATGCCAGGTACAAAAGCTGGCTGAACTGGCAGGTGAGTCTTTCCAATACACCTGGAAGCAGTGGGTAAGCTCAGAGGTGCTGGGGAGGCTGCATCTCCAACGCTTTGCTGTCACCTTTTCGTTTCTGCAGCTGGAAACAATGGCCTCACTCTACCTGATGGGAGGAGGGCTAACCCGAATACCTGCTAACTCCGAATTTTTGCAAACACATTATTACCAACGCCTCATAAATGGCCATTTTGTTTTCTCCAGCATTGGTGTAAACCTCAGAGTGACACAGTAAGAGGATAGGGGAAGAGAACCTGTTGTTTGGTCAACCTATCGTGAAGGTCGCTGGCCGTAGGCTACAGAAGGCTTCCTTAGTGCTGCACCACTGGGGTTTGAAAAACCATTCTCGGCCTGCACAGCATGGACAAGGGTCCTTCGCAAGAACAAAAAAAGAAGACAAAGAGGAATACACCTTTGCCCATAAGGCTTTGCCTTCCTTGCTCAGTAACGAGCCTCTTTTCCTATCCAGGAGAAGGGCAAAAGCCCACAGACCAGAGAACATTATTTTCAGGCAAGCTTTTCAAGCCTGATGGGCAAAGAAAGAATCTGAACCAATTTCTGGTTTCTGTTCAAGCAGCTTTTGCAATACTGGCCTCCTGAAATAGGTGTGCATCTCCTTTTGTAAATTATTAGTGTCACTGTGGACGGCTTATGGTCTGCTGCTAGGCAACGCTTCACAAGCACTACATATTCCCAGTTTTGCAAAGCTGAACATGTCCAATGTGAGGAAGGGAGACAAAACCCACACCTGTTCTATTCCGAGTGCCCACATGTGGCCATTTAATCCAGAAGTGGACTAGACAGATTTCTACCATCCATCTCTATTTATGTTCGTACACCCACACCCAGAACTACTTTGCACCAATCTAGCTATAAAACTGATTAAGCAACTACTCAATAACTCTTGGAGTTCTTCCTTAAGTAATTTAATTAGGCTACGAAGATAATAGAAGTCATTAGCATCAATAAACAGGAAGATTAATCTTCCCACTATATACGTTCAGAAATTAGCTGACTTCTAAAGGTAATGCTTCTTCCATTTTTTTTATACTTGTTTAAAAATGGAAAAATAACCACGAATGCACACTATTAAAAGAATATTAGAAACTGATCATCAAGCAGCTTTCAGCGATAAAAAGGGCATTGTTTATTGGCAATTCAAGGAAGCACATGTCTGGAGTAACACTGCGCAGGCAAGAGGCTTGAATGTGGTGGAACAGAGGCTGTATTTTAAGGAAGGAACAATTCAGTGAGTAAACACCCACCATTTACTTCCAAAGGGGCAGTGGCATTATTCTGTTACAGCAATAAGATCACAGCGTGTCTTGTGGCACCTTAAAGCACTAACAAATTTTATGTATTGGGCATAAGCCTTGTGTTGAAAACCTCTGAGAAGCTGAAGAAATACCTGCCGAAGCTTATGCCAAACAGCTTGCAAGCCTTTATGGTGTCACAGGACTCTTCGTTGTTTGCACTGTATATCCCATCATCTCCATCCTGTATGCAATCTCTGATGAAAAGGTAAAATGCGCACAACCAACTAACCTGGAAAGAAGTGGTAGGTTTTGTTTCCCAGCAATTACATAAAGAACTTCTTTACTACAACGGTTTTAGGTTGCATCTCACTCAGCCTATCTGAGGATGTGAGAATTCTTTTTTTCCCATTCGGTTAGCAATTAAAGCAATTTCATGTCATGATTTATTAAGTGTTTAACAGGGCCCTTACACTGCTCCTTCTGCGTAGCTAATTATAAGAACCCAACCCATGAATTAGAAGTGAGAGATCGCATCCCAGTCCTATGGAAAAGATGGCAATATAAAAATTGTGTGAAGACACGACATGGACCCCAAAGCTCCTGTATCACAACTAAAGCTACCACAAACCCACACAGATTCAATGTGGCAGCTAATTTTTTTTTTCCTTTGAAAATATCTCAGTGGAGATATGGATGAGGATTGCACCTATTTTCTTCTGCTCTTTTACCATTGTGAAACACACAAGGATGACAAAATCCATACCAACACGATACGCATAAAAGGCAGTATAATAACCATTCACTTACATTGCTACCTGCTCTTAACTGTATGAAAGTGACTGTGTTTGCCTTCACTTTCCTTTACTAGCTCAATGACAGCTATTCAGATGAAAATTGTTCAGCAGTGAATGTATTTCATCTTCTGTAGGCTCTTTTAAAAATGTTTTCACCACTGGAAAAACGCTACAGAATTGAAGCAACTATTTAAAACCCACTGCTTGATTTTTAACCTGACCCCCATCTCCGTTTTCGTCGCTGCTATAGAGGAACGCGGCAGAACTAGGGAACTCTGATCTGTTTCCCTTGGGGGCTGGTAGTGGAAGATTCCCCCCCCCATTTTCCCCAACAAGGGTTTTAAAAGCAGTTTGAGTACTTCTCCTTCAGTGTATGTGCCCCCCCCTCCACCACCACCCTGGTCTACAAGGTTTGGTGGGTTCTTGAAGGCCTGCAAGACACATCAGACCAGAAACTGTAAGGAGATAAAGTAAAACTGTGTACATGCAACAAGCCTGCCCAACAGGTGATTTAACAGGTGATCCTGCCCAAGAGGACACCCCATCCCCTCACAGCTTCTACAGAACAATGTTCCACACTTGTTTCTGTCCATCCCTTAAAAATAAGGGGCTCTAAGAGAACTGCTTCCACGCACTAAAACAACACATTTTCACAACCAGTCTGATGGCCAAAGGATGAAAACAGCACAAGCACGCTTGATCAACATCTTTAAAAAGGTGTGCTTTAGAAGCACACTGGGAATACAAACTGAACAGAAAAAGAAGTCCTGAATTTAGCTCAAACTGAAAAGAGATTATACACTTAAAAGGATGAAAAGAAATAGGGACTATGAGAAGGAAAAGAAGTAACAAAGGAACAAATAGGCTGTAGGCATCAAAGCAGCCCATCATTATTTCAGGAAAGAAAAATATGTTTAAGATTAGAGAAAACAAGAAAACAATTGTGAGCATACAGAGCTACCTGCAAATTTAGAGTAGCTATTCAAATGTAGCCAGTTTGAAAGGCAGAATGACTATAGGACAGAACATATCGGGGTTAAATAGCCAAATTGTGTTCAAAAATAATAAGAGTATACTACACTTGTTGAATTTCATCTACTTTTTTATAATTCCATTATGTCAGGGTAACACATTATTTAAAAAAAACATTTGGTTTATGAATGTGGGATATTGTGCTTCATATCCACAATTCAAAACACTAGGAAAGGGCCCGATATTGCTGTACAGTATCAAGCCCGCCTTGCCAACAGGAAAAAAGATGCCAAGCTTTGCATAGCAAAGGGCAGTCTGAATGTTGACAACATCCATGGTAGCAGTCGAGATGGTCTACAGGACCAGCACAGGCCTTGTGCTCACTACTATTCATAAAGTGACACCAAGCAAGGGACAATTTCAGAAACTGACTCCTTTTTTCATTATTTAACAACAATTCACACAAACACAAATTAATTGTTCATGGCTGCTGAAATAGGACCACGGAAGAACTAGCAGCCTCTCCAGGTTGCTGAGTGCAATTTTCTAGCACGTTCATCTCAGAGGTTAAGTCTCACTGCATTTACTGGGGCTGACTCCCAGGGAAGTGTACGTAGGAGTGCAGGCACATTCTCTAATCCAGTGGTCCCCAACCTTCGGCCTCCAGATGTTCTTGGACTTTAACTCCCAGAAATCCTGGCCAGCAGAGGTGGTGCTGAAGGCTTCTGGGAGTTGTAGTCCAAGAACATCTGGAGGACCAAGGTTGGGGACCACTGCTCTAATCAATTTCTATTCTCAGATGTTCCTTCCACAAAGCGGTTGCTACCCTTCCAACTCAAATGCTTCTGGAACCCAGATACCCTGTCAACTGACCAAACCGGAATTCTTTCCAACAGGAGGTTTCAGGATTCCAAGGCATGTTTCCATGAAGCTTTCCCACCGGATTACTGGTGCTCTGTCTCTTCAAACTGCACTCCTATATGCAGAGCATTTCCATGCCATTGTTATCAGGGGGCTTTACTGTCAATCCATACTTTATGCCATTGTGACAGTTTGCTGATTTGCACGTTTGTTAATAAAGCATTTATTTATGCAATGAAGGTGTCTGATTAAAACATCTGAGGACAATGCACTGTTTTTAATTTTTTACTGATTTCCTTTAAAATGACTTCGCTGATCTCTAGTATATTAGGTTTTTTCCAGCCTGGCTATTATATTCCTATGTGTACCATATAAGAAGACAAAGCTTGTCAGTTTGCCCAATCTGCTTATTTATATATAGGTTTAACCAGTGCTGAATAGAGGGGGACTGGCATCTTGCGGGATTTGGCAACTATACTTCTATTGGTTTTAAATTTGTAAACTGCTCAGAGTAGACCTTTGGTCTAGATGGGTGGAACAGAAATCCAATCAATCAATAAATAATTCCCTACATACCCATTTCTTTCCACAAATCACTAATTCAAAGTGCCCTTGATAAAGTATTTCCCTTCCAGGTATTTTAGGAAGAATGCCTACATTTCCTCAATAAAATATATAATCAGAACACTGAACTACAGTGTCAGCTACGGTCTACTTTTGACAGGAGCCTAGACACATTCCAATACAATACAACTTTTATTGTTGCTGTTGTTCAGACACTGGCCTACCTAGAGTTGCCAACCAGATCAATATAGAGAATTTTCTCTCAACTAGTCAGTAGAGTGCAATTCCTGAAATTTTGCCATTTTTAACAGACTCTTTTCTAGAAGGATCCACCCTCTGGAAAGAAAAGCTGAAAGCCATAGCAGGTATTAAGGTATCTTACAGAGAAGAGGACTGGGATAAACACCTTTCCAAGCAGTCATAAAAAGGAATCCTGCTTACAAAAAGGGGAAGAAAAATAAGAGTCAGCACAAATGGATACTCCAGGTTGGCGACGAAATGAGACTTTCTAATAGGTCCTATGAGGCAAATTGTGACTATGTGGCTTGCCTGCCTCAAATTTCCTCCTAGTACAGCAAAATAAAAGCTAAAGGCAAAAAAGATGCCATGCTAACTGGAAATGAGCCACATTTTGAAATCTGGGCCCTGACAGACTTTAATAGGAAGAAGAGAAACCAGTCAGAGAACTAGCCCTGCTACATGTACGCCATCCTACACTTTTAAGGTACTGATTCAAAAAAAAAAAAAAAAAGGACAGGGCTATAATCAGAGATAGGCAACTGGTTGCTCTTCAGAGGTAGCTGAACTAAAGATCAACCATGGTTATGGGGGATGCGAACAATGGGAATTAGGAACCCTTAGAGGCTTCCAACCCCAGTCGGAACGGCAGCAACGTAAAACAAAGCATGGCTCTCTTTAGAAGGATAGTTCCATTTTGTCATCATCACGCCAAGTATCTGGGCCTGAGGAGAGAGGTGGCCTAAGTTTACTACATGACAATCAATAATACTGTAGGTCCAGGATTCCAGCCTCCATAGCTGCCACCTTGGCATAAACCGCCATGGTCCTTGAAAAAGGAGCAGGAGTCTATATGTCAGATCGCCTCCACTGTCAGAGGGAGTGCCCCAAAGCCATTCCAATCGTAATTCAGTTCAACACAAACTCAAGGGGAGAGGGCTACTGAAGTAAGGTCCCGCTCACAACAGCATGCAGGCTAGTTTGAAGCTATCTGCTCATCATCTCATGACTTGTTGAATAATAAGCCATCACAGGAAGAATGTCAAACAACCCATAAAATTTAGCCAGAATTAAGTGCATCTTCTGTTCTCTCTTGATTCTTAGTTCTCCAAACGGTACCCAGAACTTGCAGAGATGGGACATGTCTGCTTTTCAAGACACAGCTCCTAGAAACCTGTAGCCAACAGACTGCCATTCTGGGACTAGCACTAACATTCTGGGAGCTGATGCCTAAAAACCTAAACATTTCCCCATCACAAGAAGAAAGGAAGGTAATCACCTCATGCTGGATGGATAGAGAGAGATCATGCCCTGCCGTGGAGTTACTCAGCATGTGAAGAAAACTCATGGGAATGGCCAATGTCAGTCTACACTGAGCTCTGGAGACTTGGAAGGAGGAAGTGAAAGTCTTACCACTTTCAAGTGCCTCCAAAGTCTATCACAGACTAGCTGGAATCCTATTGTACAACTTTATGCCACTCAAGTCTAGTGATGTCATCAGACACAGCCGATTAGAAGGCATTAAAATCTTCCTCTTCCGCATCCCCAGGTTCCAGGGATCCCTTTTGTTCGGGGGAATCCTTTGGGCGCTCTGGGACAGGGGAAGGATGCCTAAAAAGGGATGCCTAGCAATTCCTGGAACATGGTGAGGATAAGATTTTAATTGCCCTCATACAGCCATGGCTGATGACACCAGATCTGCCCAGCATAAAGTTGCACAAGGGGATTCCAGCCATGTTCAAAATCCCTTTTCTCTACCCCATCAGACTTCTATTGCAGGTGCAGAATCAGTGCAACCACAGCCACCGAAAAGTTTTGCAGCCTTCCATATAGATCATTTCTGCATACTCTTTTCATTGCCAGGACAAAGCCTATTGGGCTGCCTAATTTGTTTTTAAATGTGTCTAGAAAACAGTGTGGGTGTAATAGTCCTTTTTATTTATCTTCTGCTCTTGTTCATGTGGTTTACTGTGACCCTATTAAGCTTATAATATTTCTAACAGCATATTTCAACTACCGAGTGCCATTAGATGAATATAAATACCCGTACATCTGCTTATAATTAATGTAAATATAGAATGGCTTAAATCCAGTAGTTAGTTATCCATTTTTCAACTATACGACTGCCACAGTTTTATAAATACCATAAAGACTGTATTAAAAATAATTAAACATTTGTCAATATTAAAATATGACTAAAAACAAATTGTAAGCCCCTTTTAAAGACAGCTAAAAAATCTCTAAATTTAATAAATGTAACATCCCTGAGACCCCAATTGTTGCTTAAAAGCACACCTGAAAAGGAAATAAGTCACAACGAGAAGAGGCCCACAGAACCAACGGAATGCGCGGTGAATCGGACTCGCCAAGCCCCTTCTGATTCAACGAGCCTATTATAATTGCCACTTACTACTGGATTTTAGCCAGTGAATACATTTCCAGTAGCACTTCACTGTTTAAAATGTAGCATGCCAACTAGACATAAAAAGGATAAATTATGGCAATTGATTACATTCCTTTAATTATTTTATCACATCATGTAAGCAATGCCCAGAAGATTTTGAGAGTTGGTTTATTTCTAGATCTTATCCCTAATATGTAAAAAAAAAAACCATACCAATCTGTTTTCCACAAAACATACCTGAGGCCTCATGCGTGGATTCCACCGTACATAATAGTTTACCCATAATTCTAAATGGCTTAGGCTGGCAACTGGATACAGGACGTGGTTTTCATAATTTACAAAGAAAGGGTTACTGAACTCATCAAGTTGACTATTAATGTAGGACCACAGAGAGACCGTCCTTGTGTTTATTTCCTGGAGAGAAGGGTGAGAAGCATTTTGTCAAGCATCCTTAACAACAAAGCTCAGCAGTAATTTTCAAGCATCCTTCATTTGGAGAACAATTTCTACAGCAAATCTGTCAGCACAGAAACCCCTGAGCATCTTCTGTGGCTGTGGCTCTCTCAACCTTTCCTTATCACATGTCCCCTCAATAACTCTACCGAAGAACCTAAGTTGTCACATGATACAAACAAAAAGGCCACTTTATTCAAGGGCATTTTTTTATCTGTAAAGCCATTCTGCTACCCTATTTCTTATCGACATTTAAAGTTGACGGGCAAAAGCAATGGGGGAACAGAAGCATCCTGAAAGCCCACAGAACGGTAACCCTTGGCATACGGGGCCAACAGGAGGCAGCACAACGTTAGGAAGAATAAATTCTTAATAATCATGAAAATTATGTGTTCCATCTATGCTATCTATACCATTGGCTGAGAACATATTCCCGATTACAAAGTACAGATTTGAAAACTAGATAACGAAAAAGACTGGTAGGAAATGTGCTTTTAAGCTTTACGGATACTGTGAACCTACAGAAACATAAATAAGTGGGTTCTAGATCGACTCAAGCCTGGATTCTCAATAGACGCTAAAATGACTAAACTGAGGTTATTGTCCTTTGGACATATCATGGGAACCCAAGACTTACTAGAAAAAACAGTAATTCTATAAAAACAGCTGGAAGTTAGTTGGATAAGGGAAAGACTAAGCATGAGATAGACTGGCTCAATAACCATGGCCTTGCGTTTGCAAGATCTGAACAGGGTTGTTAATGACAGAACCATTCGGACAGAGGTCATTCATGCATAGGATCACGTATCAGGAATGGCTTCATACTATTACAACAAAGACTTGAGAAACAGTAGCTATTCATGACTTTTTCAATTTCAAATTTACTGGATAAATTTAACATTTGAGATGTGGTATTTCTGCTTCCCTGGAGGATCAATTAAAAAAACAGCACGGACATTGAAGCATATTTAAGGAATTTAAGAAAAGCAACAGTACACATTTAAAACACTGGATGTCATGAATCACTAGGGAGGACATACAAAAAGTAACTGAATAAAATTACTGTAGATATCAGTAAAAAAAAAACACACACCAAAAAACCAAGACTTTAATATGGAATCAATGGAGCAATATTTTAGAAACAGGAATATAATGTCTATTTTCCACATTTTCCTTATATTTAATTAAATATCAGGCTTTTAATTAAATGTCCATGTTTAGCCTTATTAACAGATTTTTTAAAAAATTCTATGACCCTGCACAAACATCACTGTGAAGCCATTATTAAATCGAGGTTTCAGAATCAGAATAAGAATCAGCTTCATCTTGCAATTTTATACTCCTCCAGTGCTATAAAGCATCTGTTTCCACTACAGTTGTCTCCTAAATTGCATTTTAAAAAGGGGGTGGGTGGGGGTGGCTGCATTAGATTACCCATTCATGAGAGGAAGCTGTCTGGGTAAGCACATACATACTTGGTGAGAATGTATAATTCAGCTCCATCTTGTGGTGCAAACATGCAATTTACTGCATGGAATCAGATACAAGTCATGTATAAATATTCCAAAGCAAATTTGCAAAGATGCTGTTTGTATGAACATTTTTCTTTCTGGAATAAGGGAAACTAAGCCACTGTCTTGCACATTGTCTTAAGCCAAAATAACACTTGATTCAGCATATTATGTGAAGTATTATATCTCCATCTTGTGGTGCAAACATGCAATTTACTGCATGGAATCAGATACAAGTCATGTATAAATATTCCAAAGCAAATTTGCAAAGATGCTGTTTGTATGAACATTTTTCTTTCTGGAATAAGGGAAACTAAGCCACTGTCTTGCACATTGTCTTAAGCCAAAATAACACTTGATTCAGCATATTATGTGAAGTATTATATCAAGAATCTTCTGCACTCAATTATGGACATTCTTTCTTAATCTCAGGTCTGCTCCAACAGATGCAGATTAATCTTGCAATGTACACACAAACCTATGGAAGAAATCTCCAGATAAATTTATAGAACGTATACAAAAATGTTCATCTGTTTAGCCCAGGACCAGTTACTTTAATTGGTGGCATCTCTCTAATGCCCCAGGATTTCCTGCTGTTCTACTTCAGATTTTCTCAAGCAGAGGCCAAACATGGGACTCTCTACATGTCAAATATAAACTCCAGCCCTGAGCTATGGCCCTTTCAGATTTCACAGCATCACCTGTTACTTTCTGCCCTGGTTGATAGGAATAAAAATGCCTGAGGCTTTATCCTATTTTATTTATGGGAAGAAAGGGGCTTCTCTGGACACAAGTCATAGAGTCACTATAGAGCTGGAACAATCCTGACGGTCATCTTAGTCGAACTCCACAAAGGAACAACTCGTTGACAAATACAAACTGTGCTACAGATAAGACAACATCAAGTCTCGTTACAACATTTTGTAACACAGAAAGTCAGTTACTCCCACAAAGCTCCTTTCTAAGTTATATCCAGAAACCATCTCGCAGAGATAAATAGTACTTTCTGTTGATTATATCCTAGCATAAACGAGGACTAGAGTTTTGATGAGCAGTTCTAACTGCTTTCAAGAACAGAAACCTGTTTTTGTGAATGATGATTCCAAAAACTGTGTAAGTTCTATTTTCTGCCTATTTTGCAATCAGAAAAAAAAAATTTCACATTTAGGTGGCATTTAAGTACTTTCAGCTCTACAGAACAAGAAAAACAGCCTCGAAATTTCCTCTGCCTCCCACAAAATCATTACACAGCTGATTTACCTCCTTTACTCGCTGATGTTCAGAGTTGTATAAAAAGGTGCCAAAGAGACAGCTATAAAGATGATCCAAAATGGTGATCAAAAACAGCTCGTTGAATTCAAATGCTGCTGGGAACTAAATCAATGAAATATGCTGTTAGGTTGTTTAAATTTAAAACAAACAAACAAACAATTCTGATTTCATTTTGACCTTAGCACTTCTCCCCTCCACTAACACAAAGGCACATGAACATATAGAGAAATCTCTAAAGTAAAATGCAATGTGAAGGTTTATGAACCGCCAGTTTACATTTTAAGACTTGACAAGAAGGCAGATGTTTTAGCAATTTCGGGCAAATGCCTCACCTTGGATGGTAGACTGTGTTGGAAAAGCCCCTCCCTAAATATCTGATTTTCCAAGTAGGAACAAATCTTTTATGCATTTGCCCTGTATACCTTCCTCCCCTTGATGGACTGCCACCGAGACATTCTACAGACTCTAGCTAACCGTCTTGTAATGTGTACAATATTCAGCTGTGGGGTGGGGGGGACGCTATACGAAAAATAGTTTTTAATTCAGAAGGCTCACTTCTCCCATATGCAGACCCATCTAATCTGTTTTCATATATAGGAGAGAAAAGAACATCAGAGGTGACAAAGGGGGCTCGTTTACAGCCTCCTCAATTTGCAGAATGGAAATCAAGATCCTTCTTGTGGGGGTTTTATAATTTAAGAATGTAATTCTTGGAAAGAACGGTCCGCTCATTACTCCTGCCAAAATAGATCTCTACATGGTTTCTCGAAACCATTTTAAACATGTTTACGTCGGCTGAGACTAGGACACAATCTAGTTTTTATTAATTGTTGTACTACAACTATTCTATTCATCTTGTCGGAATTGTGCTGTACTGACAAGCAAAAAGATTTGTTAAGCTTGGTAGCTCCTGCTCTTGCTGAGGGTTTTGTCTGTCTGTCGCCATGCCCTTTTCTTAGCTTCTTCCCATACCCCTGAGCTGTTCATGTCCACCTGGTTCAAGTGGATTTGTGTGCCAGCTACTCAGTTAAACAAATGAGTGGTGATCAGTTTTATTCACTTGATCATTTATTCCTTCCCTGAAGCTTACTGAAATGGCCAGTGTAGGTGTATGTCGAAGTATTAACATCCCAACAAAATGCCAGGCTGAGGTCACTGAGGCACAAAGTGGGGAGAAAAGGACAGCTTTCCATGTAGAGGGCATGATTCCTTTCAATTTGGCAGCAGTTAATGCCATAGATGTTCAGATTGTGACAGGAGGGATATTAGCCCTGTGACGCCCCACTGGCCCCGTCTGACCTGCTGCAAAGTGCAGGTTACAGAGAGCCCCAAGTCATACCAAGGAGAAAGGTTCTTTCATCTCAACGAGGTTCCTGGACACCGGCAAATAGTCTGAATATTGAGAGTAAGAAACGACAGTCTCTGAAGAAGCTGTAACAAGCCAATTCTAGCAACTTCCTTCCAATTTCTGTAAGGCATTTTGCTCCCCCTCCACTCCCTGTGCCATAATTCTCCAGGATTATTTGAAACTTTTTACACAATTCACATTTGGCAAAAACTATTTCAGAGTCTTTTAACAGAGAGAAACTAAACAGATTATAGCAAGAAATAGGGAGCAATGAAGATTACCAGACATTAAGATACACAACAGAATAGGCTGTTTATGACTTGACTCTAAAAGGATTTTAGTTCCTTCCATATGTTCCAGGTGGGATGTTTTTTCATGCAAAAGAACAGCCTGGAATGGGAGTTTGACATTTTTAAAGACTTTCTAAACGAATGTAAGGTTTACAACAAAATTATATCAAGAATATTCAGAATTAATTTGGAAACAGCAAAGCCCTGAATATAGCAAGGCATTATTACTGAGCAAACCTTTAGGCCGCAAAATACTCCTTGACTACTATCTGCTCATACTACACCAGACTCAGGTGCACTTTCAGTGCTTCCAGATGAAAATTAAGCAATGAGAGAATATGGGGCTTACAAAGGGGTGGGGATAGAAGAGACAGTGGGCTGACCCTAGGAATTTATGGGTCTGACTATGGTCTGGTTTTCATATTCCACCTCCTCTATTAGCCTCACCTTACTTACTTCCTTTTCAAAAGTGAAAAAGGCATTTATGCAACTTTATGTTAACCACCAGCCCTGTTTTAAAATAAAGACTCTTTCATGAATTCTATGCAATGCATATGTGACCTTATCAGCACACAGAATATAATTGAGACCATCCTTATTACAGAACTAGAACTTTTTGAACCAGGAGGAAAACATAGTAACACACATCACAACCACGTATGAAAATTGCTGACTATTGAGACAAGGTATGGCAAGAAGTAACTACGAAAGTCAAAGATCCAGGCTCACTCATTCATTCTAACCAAACACTCAAAATCGCTGGGAGGGTAAAATGGGGTTGAGGGAGCCATATACGGCATTCTTGAAATCTCTCAAAGGGAAGAAAAGATATAAATGAAGTGAACGCTAGAAAACTGTCAGGAAATGGAAGAAACCTCACCAGTATCTGTAGAGATATTTGGCTTAGCAAAAGGCTGCTACATTCACATAGTGATAAATCACCACCACAAAGTGGGGATTCGCTCTAGCTGTAACGGGAAGCTCTGTAATTCTCATAGCCACTGTCACGTCCAATGAGACAACACCACCAGACTTTTTTGGCAGATGCTGTCAGCCCAAGCTTTGGAATGATTCTCAGACAAGGCACTTAAAAACCCTGCATGCCAGTCTGGCTTCCGGTGTAGAGGGGCACTGAAAATAAAATGCCCACAAAAGGGTTAAATTACAACCAAAAGGCTGCTTTAAAAGTGCAACCAGGTAAGATGATCTGATATCCTTTTGTGAACAGGAGGGACCGTTTTGAATCAGGATCACTGACACTGGTGAGGATTTATCAACGGAACTGTATATCTAGGTATAAACCAGTCGTTCGTCTAGTACAGCCAAAGTCTCAGTGGCTACACTAACTCTGGGCACGTTCTTTATGTATTTATTTCTTCTACAAATGAATGCAACTGATGTTAACACAACTGATGTAAACAAATGCATTTTAATATGCAACAGGCATTCTTATGGTGTAGTTAAGACTGGGATGTAGAATGCTGTTCACACTTGATTCTAGTAGTATTTAGATGATTTGTAACTGAAATACCTTGCAAAACTCTAAATACCATGTTGTCAAACAAGGACAGAAATTAGTTCCATTTCTCCATATGAGGAAAACAAGGTGACCACACACTCTCTTTGAAAAGATACTTTAATAAAACAACTTTGCAGAATGAAGGGCAGGGAAAGCAGCAGAATTTTCTTAGTTTACATAAGCTGTTTCACAAGCTCTCTGTGTCACACTGAAGTAGCATTAACTTTTGATTTATACTTCCTAGAACTAATTTGCTTTGGGAATGATATGAATTTAAGAATTAAAGAAGAACTGTGCATCTTTACACTGAGTGATTTTAAGAGGATCCCAAATTCTATCCGCTTTATAAAAGATCTGCTTTAACATTAGCAGTAAGTGCAATGCATCCTTATTAATTTGTCCTTAATTATCAGATCTCAGAGTCTGTATATATTATTAGATATGTCTGATATGTAAAGCAGCCAATTCATCAGAGAGGAGCGGCGATCAGACGTTCCCTGTGTGAACTGAATTTGTAAATTGTAAAAGAAAATGTATCACTTCCATGAACAAAAAGTAATACAAAATACAAAGTTTCCACCCTGAAATTTCTCAGCGTCTCTTTTGACTAAATAATGTTGGTTGGTTACATTAAAAGGATTATGTTGTGCAACAAACCTGGCTTAAACTGGGTAGTTTATCATTTCAACATATTCAAGTATAAACAACATATTCAAGTATAAACCCTAGTGGGGGGAAAATAATGTCCTTCTGTGAACAGGAGGAGTTTTGATCCAGCTGAGGTTCTTACTAATACAAGGAATGAGGTGAGAGACCCCCTAATTCACTGGAGCAGAACCAAGGAGGGACAGAGAGTTGCAGGGAATACTGGTGGTGAAGGTCACTCCCTGTCCATTTGCCAGTGGACCTCAGAAGCAGCCTTTTCAGAAATGGAATTCCATGCGTGTGAGCAAATTCATAATCTTGCAACAGAATGCTTTGAAAACCTAGTTTCTCAAAGTGCCACCATGCACACTGGACGTCTTACCACTGAATCCAATGGTCCTTATTTATTTATTTATTTATTGCATTTATATGCCGCCCATGTAGACATAGTCTACTCTTATTTCTGAGTAGATATGTACAGGATGGCATTGTTAAGTCTTTCCAAATACACCATCGGAATGTTTTGGATCACAAGAGAGATGCCTGAGCATTTCCAAAACACCAAAGATTGAGGAGTTGTTTTTTACTTTATATGTGTTTAATTTTCCTCTGTGGATACTGAATGATACAGTTGCAAAGCTTTATTAAACATTATTCCGTTGAGCAAAAGGATTTATTTGTTACATTTATAATCCACGTTTCCCCTAACAATCTCAAGGCGGCATATATGCCTCTCCTCCTCCTCTTCCCACTGCCCTCATAACAACCATGTGACGCAGGCGAGGCTCATAAATTATGACTAGCCCCAGGTTACCCAGTGACTAGTGCAAGTTCACTTTATAAGTAAGGCAGGCCCAACGTCAGTTGGCTAGATAGCTCACAGCCAGAGGTTGGGAGGTTCAATTCCCCATCGGGGGGCCCCAGGAGAAAAGCCAACCTGTGTGACTTTGGGCAAGCTGCACAGTCCCAGGATGCCCTCAGAAGGGAATGGTAAACCACTTCTGAGTGCTCTCTAGCTGGAAAATCATGAAAAGGGTCGCCATAAATTAGAATTGACTTGACCGCACATGATTATTATCCTTATTATTAGCCCAGGGTCAATCATTGCTAAGTGGGGCCTTTAAACCTACATCAACTAAATCCTAGTTCAATACTCTAACCACTAATACTCAGTGGCTCTCCTTATGTGGATTAAGAACAATAAAGACACAGTAAAAATGCTCTCACCTGCTTTGTCATTTGCCAAACACAGTCTATAAACTGAAGGAAGATGGGTGATCTGTCAGCGTCAGCATGGTCATCGTCACCATGACCTACTCGCTAGTAAGGAAGAAAGAATCTTATGAGTAAGGCTTCCCTTTCTATCAAATGTATTTGGTTTAAAGAACTGGTATGAAAAACTACCAAGAATAATTACAGAATACTTCTGAAAAATTATGTTTCTTCAAACAATGAAGTACTAAACCTTGTAAACCAAAACTAAACAGATGCAAGTTATTCATCATACTTAGTAGCTTTTTTTAAAAACAGAACAGGTCTTAGATATGTAACAAGCATCACTGAATTTTGTAGAAGAAATCCTAAACTTTTCATATGTATTGTAACAGATTTGTACAGACTCAAAGGCACGTGAAGGAATTTGGAAGCAGTCCTCATTCTATCCAGGGCTCAGAGGGACGGCTGGAACAGGGCCATCAGGTGAAGGAAAGCTTCATACATGCAACATATTATACACACACAACCCATATACCAACAACACAATACCAAGGAGTGTCAATTATCATGCAGGATCAACAACAGCAGCAGATAAGGACAACATGGATTTTCCTTCATAGATTCAAACTGGCTTGGCTGGGTGAACACTTAGAATATTTTTAGGTGTGCCCAGTAATATGATTAAAAGCTAAAGATTACTTAAAGTTATAATGCTTTTTAATTATGCATTTTAGAGATTTTTTTTCAATGTGCCTTTACATTCTTACCATGTTATTAAAACATTCTTTTCAGTATTTATTGTACTTTTTATGCTCATGTAACTGGGATTGAATTTTGACTTAAATATTTGCCTGCAACTTTAGTTTTTTATGTACATATTTTTTAAGCCTTTGTGCCAATAGTTTTTCCATAGCTATAAAACTTTCAGATGTTCTCAACAACTCTGAAATACTTTTATGCATATGGAACACAGAAGCAATGTAGCTTGTAGAATTAGATCTGAAGTTGCCTCAAATTAGAAAGGACTTATACCTTGATACTCAGATGAATTTTGATACGATTGGAAACAGTTGCCTGATTAATGCTGGAATTAACTCTTTTTCAGGATAAATGCTAGCTTTTCCCCTAGAGGCCTATAATGTTCTTATAGGGCTTTTCACAAAATGTTCAGGTGTGAAATTGCAACTATTGGCCATTCTGATCGTGAGATTCTGGGAGTAGCAGCAAAAACCAAGAAAGAGCTTTTTCTATCTTTGTTAAAGACCCAAGCTGACTGTGGGTGTTACGTCTACGTATGGCAAAGACAATCATAAGCCACAGTGGATGCTGACTATTAGCAACAGATGGGATAAACCCATGTTTTAATGACTGTTAATGCTTGGGTATAAGAAAGGTGACGTGTTTTCTACTTCTCCTTGCTTTAAAGCAAATCACTTTTCCAAAGCACAGTCTCCTTTTTCTACCTGTGCTACACTTACCATTGCAAAGCGATGTCCAAAACTCATCCACTCCTTCTCTAAGAGGACCTCAAAGCCTTTGATAGTTCTGTAATAGCCATCCAACATAAGCATGGCTAAAGACGACAGCTGAGCTGTCCGATCCCAGCCATCACTGCAATGAACCACCACCGATGTTTTGCCTGATTCAATTTTGTCAGCAATTCTCACACCTCCAGCAAGAAGCATCTTTAAGGAAGAAGAAAGGTTCCACGTTGAACAACAACTATAGTAGATGAGCTCTTTCACAAGAACACAGAAGACATTTTGCAAGGCCCAAAGGTCTATGTAGTTTGGCATTCTGTTTCCAGCAGTGAAACAGAACTTAGCATGGCTTCTTCCTATATATTTTTCTGCAGAGACATACTTCTTTGGACATGGGGGTTTCACCTACCTGTCATAGTTAAGATAGATTGACAGACCTATTTTCTATGAATGATACATTGCCAGTGTGAGCTGACTGCCATCAATGATATACAATGTAGTTGGGCTGAGTTAATATAAGCAATCATTTTGTCAAATTAATACACCAAATACTAGTTAAATCTGTCCAGAAAATGCTAATCAGGATTTATATTATTCATCTACACTACAAACTATTGAACAGATTAAGGGAATCAAAAGCACCAAACTATTCTAGACTGATCTTCAAATGGCCTTTACAAAAGAGCAGAGGCAATAATCAGATTCAATTCCCTCCCCCCAAAATAGTTGATTGAGAAGGTGTATTCTCTCTGAAGCAGATAAGAACTCTGCCTCCTTAGAAAGGGGTCTTCTGGATTGTATGCTGTCGATAAACTGTCAGAAGTCTGGGTCAATAGGATTACCAAGATACACTGCACATAATCAGAGGATCTTATAAACAGCATACTACAAGATGGAATATATGACTCAATTTATCAACATTCTTAGAATTAAGAAATTCTACCCCTATAACTTTATGAACAAACATCAAGTACGATGAAAAAAATGTTAATAGTGTCTCCTAACATTACTGAAAGCAATGTTTTCCCAACGAAATCAGCATCTATGGAAGCTGTGCTCTGGTACAGAGACAATACACAGAAAAAATGACGACACTACATGACTTAGCTGGAAAGCTATGTTTACAAAAGAAGTGCTTCTGGTAGCTGGCCAAGCAGAATTGTAATTCTCATGGCAGTTTGCCAGATGGGAACAGAGAAAGAGAGAGAGCGAGCGAGAGAGAGAAAATGCCAGGTATGTGTGTGGTGGGGGTAGTGATTTGCCCACATGTTGTGTGCCAAATGTTCTGTGTGGCAAGGAAAGAGTGCTCTGTCTAAGAGTGAAAGAGATCCCTAACAAAATCGGCCCAAAATCTTCCCTTCGGGCACCTGATGATGGTATCTTTACAAAGATCATCGTTTTTATAGCATATTGTCCTGGAAATTGATTGCTCATTTCCCATCCTTCCATAGCAACTCCAATTACAAACAGACAGTTACTGGATGCTTCCGAATGTGACGGTTGATGATCTAATGACAGAGCCATTGCAAAATGAAGCACTCCAAACCTGGGACCATTTTGCAAAGGTTTCCTACCCATAATTTTTATGTTGGCCATGCAGAAACAACAACGGGCTTTTCCCATTGATCATATTTACCAACTCTTACCTTCTTGGCCCTCCACTTTGTCTGAAGGTAGCAAATGGAGCTGTTTTTGAAGACCATTCAAAATGCTGTTTATTACTATTAAAAAGCCCTAAATACAGAGCTTGTTAAGATTCTAAGTAATTCATTCTTGTTGCCCTGTTTAAAAAGTCATCAGTTGTTGCTATTCATTGGAAATGTTAGAAAAATAACTAATTGTACTTCTTCCTGATTTTCTGTTACTTACTGAAACCTTCTTTAATCCCTAACAAAATATGAAAATGGGTGAAGAACAGTGAAAAAGAGATGGCACTGTTGACCAAGAACCTGTTGGGAATCACATTTCTACTATAAATTCATTAAATGACCCCAAGCACATCATCAGCTCCCAGCCTTGTGTGCACAAAAGCCATGTATCAATAATACCAAGTTATGTGACCCAAGAGTTGTAAGTAGAGAAGGGGGCATTTGTATCCATATACAAATATCCCTGCACAGCTGAAGTTAATGAGGGTTCGCCCCCCTGGGGCCGGACCGTCCACTTATGCGTCCGGCAGCACCGCCGGCCTCGCTCATCCTTCCAGTCGCTCCCCGAGCCCCGCTCTCTTCCTGCTCGGCTAGCGACTCGGCAGCCGTGCAGGGAGACTCGTCCTCCCTCCCCTTGCCTGGAGTGGCTAGCCAAGCAGGAAGAGAGCAGGGCTGCAGGAGTGATTGGAAGGATGAGTGAGGCCGCCGCTGGCGGACATGTGAGTGGACGGTCTGGCCCCAGGGGTTGGAACCTCATTATCAAATACGAATACTCCCATCTCTAATTGTAAGGATTATATCGACATCTGTGGAATATGAAACCCTCAAAATGAACTGCATAAATTCCAAATCTCGTGAGGTTTCTATTACTCCGCCAATGGTCTTGGACAGAACGCTGCGGTGGTGGGTCACACTGGGGACAGCTTTCTTAAGGTGAAAATGCTACTGGATGTGTGTCCCTGTTGGAAATCAGTGTTTGGTTTTGATCTTATGCTGGTGATTCAATTTTGATGGCTAAGTTGTTGTCACTTAGCAAAGGAAACTCTCACCAGGCAAAAGGGTTGACTGATTGGATGAGAAAGGCAACACAGCCCCTTCTGTTGCCCCCTCCACTATATCATCTCATCAGGGCAGCTTTCTATCCTCTCCCCAGACCAAAGAATACTATGGCAGACCTTATGAGCCAAGCCAGTTCTTCTCTTTCAGGGCAGAGCAGCTATAAACGGGAGCTGGGCAAATTTGCACTGAGGCTGTTCAGACCTTACTTAAACATGGTTTTAAGTTACCCTGAAGATTTAAAATGGCAAGAAGGTGTCAAATAAATCTGTTAAACAATAGAATTTAAAATAGACATAATACATAGTCACAGCATGCCACAATTGCCTAAATCAGGGTGGGCAGAGTATGGCCCGCCAGATGACCTTGTCTGCAATTCCCATCAGTCCTAAGTCAGCACAACCCAAGGTGGGGAATGCTGGGCGTTGCAGTACAATTACCTCTGCAGGTGCTGCATTTCGCCCTACTCAGTCTAGACAATCTATAAAGATTCTAATCCATCATTTTCCCTCTTTCAGATTACCCTGGAGAGGTGTTCACATGGACCAGCATGTGAACATAACAAAGCAAAAAATAAAAAATAAAAAATCAAGGTCAGTTTCCATGAAGTCTTTTACCCGTATATATTCCAACCAGTGAGTGCTCTCCACGTTGGACAGCCACCGAGACTCATCAATCGTCGGGTAAACAATCTCCTTCAATTTGCGCAGCGATTCTCTCATCACATGGATATTTGGGATTTCCAAGAAGATCAGCTCCACATTTGGGTAGGCGCTTTCGCTTTCATATCCACCACCTTTCGCCTGAGAACACAATTCATTTCAAGTCATTTTAAAAGACCAGAATACAGTCTAGTATTTAAAACTACGAAACAAACACACGTTTTTGTCCGTTGTAAAACCTCATTTCATATTTTCCAGCTGTGTCCATTCTTTTACCTTATTTGTGTCTGCCACACTGCTCTGCCTGGCATCAAAGATGAAAAGCTTGTGAGACTGAGCATTGGCATCCATAATCGTCTGTAAATATTTCTCGTCTTCTTTGCATCGTTTGTCATTCGGGCCCACAAGAGGTTGGCTGCAGCGTGTGATCGTAGCCTGGCTCTCTGGGTGTATCCAGGATAGCACCTAAGCAAAGTGTATACGTGCCAGTTTAAGAGTAAGAACAAAACCTATAAATACTTTGGAGCAGCTCACTTGTCAAAACTGAAAGCAGATTAAATGTCATGTGAAGATATTAAAACCAGCTGGTTGCAATTAACCTTAGATTTAAGTTAACAGTTGTCCAGGCATTTCAGTACCCCGGAAATCAGAGACTGCTGCAGAAATCACACAGAATTAGTCCTACAAAGTAGGCAATGTATAACACTGCTTACGATTCTTCCTTTGACAATGTCCTGAAAATTCATCGGTCACCTGTCATATATAACCCCAACAGATCTCTTGCCTTTCCCCTCTGGAGTACTTTTTAGTCCCACACAATTTCATATATTAGGACAAAATGTCCCATCTGGTTTTGCATTCTGATTAGAATATAGACAAGCTGGGGTGAGCAATCAGATGAAAACCACCCTTCCAATGTCAAACAACAGACAGAGAGTAGAAGATAGCCGTCATGTGAAACATGACCACCTGCACTAATAACCTATTATTTATGAGGACACGAATACTGTCCTATTAAAGAAGGCAAAAATATGCAGTTGTTACTCTACAGCCAGGGAATGTTAGTTGAACCATATTTTCATACTGGATGAAACATGTTGGGAGAAAACTTGTCAGCCGGGTGAAAACTAGCAGAACGTCTGCTAACTAATGACCTGACATATTTTGACACCATTTGACACAAAAAGGCATACATCCCCTCTCCTCTTTATTATTTTTGTACTAAGGCAGCAGATAACAAAAACAGTAGACTAGAGAGAAAACTATATGCTTCCCAGCCTCACCTCCTCCAGCCGGTACCCACCCACTACTCTGGGTGGCTTACAATTTACCGACTTGACTTGGAAATAACAATATCCGTGTTTTTAACAGAGAGAATTGGGGTTGCCTACAGAAAAAGAGGGCTGCCAGCTACTTGAAATAAATGTTCTGGCAAATGTTAACATGCATTTTACTGCCTCTTTATTCTTGCCTCCTCCTTCCAAACGCTTCTGTAGACACAAGGCATTTTGATACCCTGCAATACGTTAGAATTGCAGGTGGTCAGAAAATACATTAGATAACATTCACCCTAAATCTCATTTCCTTGGGTGGGTGGGGGGTAAAAATGAAAAGAAACACAGCCCTTTGCACCATGAACCAAATGAAAGAATTCCCCAGCCCAAGAGAAGTCTTTAGAACTGAAGCCACAGCAAAGCAAACCACTATTAAAAACTGAGGGGAAGTGGTGGTTTCTGAAAGTGGGGTCTGCTGCTTGACACATACCCCAAGCGATAAAAATATCCCCCTTTACATAAATCAGCTCTCTGGATTCTGTCCCTTGATAACAAAATGTTATGTCCTGGTAGAAAGCTTTTCAAACTAGGGATTTAATTTTTTCTAAAAGTTCCAATTCTGGCCTCAAACACTATCTTTCCCACTAACTGTAGCATTTACAAAATCAGTTCTATTCAATTTCCCCTTCTTTCACATGGGGGGAAAATGCAGGCAGCTCTTTATACTTCAGTTCCCAGACTGAACTTTTTCCATTCCATTTCACATCATCTTCCTTCTAGGAGAAGACCCTGACTACTTTGGATCACACATCAAACTTCATCCCAACCATACACAGGAACAATTCTGTTTGGACTCAGGCGTTGTTACTTACTGGAACTCTGCCTTTCGCCCTGAATGCTGCTACTCTGGACAGATCATCATCTTTTACACTGGTTGGCACAACAAGAACAGCAGGATAGGTATCGCAAAATTCATAGGAACTGTTTATTTTAGATATTTTCCAGCTCTCATTAGGCAAACCCTGCATAGAAACAAAGCATGTTTTTAAAGAAATGAAGTTTAATATATAAATAGCCACATGTCATCAAGTCAACTCTGACTTATGGTGACCCTTTCCAGGGTTTTCCAGACACAGAATACTCAGAAGTGGTTTGCTGTTCCCTTTTTCTTGGGGTGCCCTGGGACGGTGCAGCTGGCCCAAGGCCACACAGGCTGGCTCTACTTCAGAAGAGGCCCAGCGGGGAATCGGACTCCCAACCGCTGACTCCACAGCCAGATAAACAAATATACCTGGTTTTATATTCTTTAAACCTTCAACACAACATATTGATAGCAGACATAACATAGTACCCCTTTCCCCTTGTAGGGACTGTCTGAATCTTACAGAAACTCGGTATCTACCCTGAATCAATGGGCACACATAAAACTCAAAAATTAATGGAGTTAATAGCTCAATATGCCCCTTGCTTAGAAGCATACCTTTGAGGCAGAAAGCCCTGAGCAAATATCTAAAGGCCATTCTAAAAACAAATCTAGCATGTTTATTCCTTAGACCAAAAATGCACTGACCAGCAGTGCACCCGGAACAGAACTGGCATCATGCGTACCAGTTTTCAACTAACATCCAGACAGATTTTTTTTTCACCAGCTGACGTTTCTAGACTTTGTTCAAAGGCTACCCCACATACTGTGCATTGCAGTGGATACAACTGGTGCATGAATTATCTGGATGCAGTCTGATCTCTCTAGACAAAGTTACTGTGCATTACAGTGGATACAACTGCTGCATGAATTATTTGGATGCAGTCTGATCTCTCTAGACAAAGTCCCAAGGGAGTACCAGCTGAAACTGGCAAAAGGCACTCCTAGAGAACAGTATCATCCACACTTTCACAGATCTAACCAAACCTAAGAGTACATTTAAGCTACTGTATGAACATGGCCCTTTAACTGGAGGGACATTTTACCCAAGATTAGCTACACCCCTCTGTCCGAAATGCTCATATTCACAACCTTTAGTAACTCCAGCACACTTTATGTTTTACCTTGTTCTGCTTTATGCCTCTGGACTCCTCATAAAAAGTTCCACAGCCTCCATCAGGCTTGGTGGACGGAAACAAAAAAATAAAAATAAATAAAAATAAATAAATAAACAAGAGGCCACAGCATGTGTAGGCACCATCGGCAAATTTAAGGGCATAAGGTATGGCTCACTTTAACTTGTTTGTGACAATTTTGTTTCAGCAAAGTGCTAACAATTTTTTGGGTTGCCTATTATGCCCGTCAATATTTTGGCTCAATGACTGGTAGAGCAAGTTACTAAAGCAAGTGAAAAACATAGTTACTCACCTGTCTCTTATACTCTGCTATTGGATCATAAACCTTCCAGCCATTGGTGGGAAATTTCTCTTTATAGCTGAATGCAAAGAATGGCTGAATGAAGTGAAACAAACACATGCATTATTGATACAGTATTAAATTAGCCTCTGTCATTTCCCATCACAAGGCAGAGGAACCTTTTACCATGACTTTTACATATGAAAGTTTGCAAAATATTATTTATCACAAATATATCAAACAGAACTCCATCAACTGTTCTAGCTCTATTTATTTAGGAAGTAAGAGATGTCAATAAAATTTCATTGTAATAAAACTCAGACTATTAGTCTTGACCTGAAAAACGAAGTAAAAATGAATAAATGTGATTGATCTACTTCACTGAAGAAATTCAGTTAAGAGTCTTATTAATATTTTGAAATAAGAATCAGTAGATTATATTTAGATTCTTCCTCTCCTTTCTCATATGGTGCAGGCACAGAACACTGTTAGATAATTTTTTAATGACAACACCTCATGTGAATACTTACCAGCCCATGAGAAAGAGGAAATGCTCGTGTAATAAGGTTCTGAAAAATCTCCAGTCTATGTTCTTCCTGTTTATAGGCAAGCCGCAAGTTTCGCATATCCTGTTAAAATATATCTTAACATTTAGCATCTTATTTAAAAAAATATATCACACGAGTTACAAAACATTATTGAAAGACTTTGCATCATTATTTCTACTGCTATCTTAATTTGTGTTCATTTAAGGACGAATAAAACCCTGAGACTATTCATAGTTTTCTAATATCCTGCTAATAGATATCTTATTGGTTAGTAAGTTATATGGCGGAAAAACCTGTGTAACTCATGAATGCCACTGTAAGTATGCACTTCCATATAAACAACATACCTTCCTCGCACTAAGCTTTGCCTAAAATGGGTAATTCACTCTTTCCAATGTAATACAAAATGTCTGTGAACATTCCACAGCATCACAACAGCTTAGTTACAGCTGCTAGTATGTGAGATACAATGTAAGGATCATCCACAGAAGTGAAAGAAATGAAAGGGCAACTTATCTGAGGAGTCATGCACACCCTCAAGGTTAAATGGATACCTTGCAGACAATTTCTATCCCACAGGAGCTGTCCCCGTGACTTTGCACTCCAATCTTCTCAACCCTGCTTATCACTCCAAGAGGAACATCAAGAATGAAATGAGGATCCTGGAATTAGAGGGAAAAGTAAACACAGATTTTCTTCATTGCAGCTAGGAGTAAATATTTAGCGTTCTACAGTCTGTACGAGATAAAGTTATACAGCTATAGTGGGACACATAAAGCTGCTATGTTTAGCTTATACGTGTGTGTCAGTTTCTGGAAAAGAAACACAAGGGAAAGACTGTAACTAAAAGATGCATGACGCACAATAAGGAACAAGGGCTCACCCTCTCAACATTCTTGAAATAAATTTTGAAATCTGTCACTGTCAGCGTACCACTGATGGCTCCGATAAATGGACAGATATACATGACATCTTTAGCTGGAAAAAATAAGGTGTCAGTTTATTAGTGCTAATATCCCTACCACAATATTTATTTTATTATGTATGTACACAAAACAGGCAAAATATTTCATGCAAGGAAATTTCTCTATGCACCCTTTGTCTGACATTACACATAGATTAACTAAGAAAATCATTTCACAAGGTCGTCTTTAATGCCTATTTTTAATGCACATCCCTTCAAAAGAAAATGTTTTCATCATGGGAAAAGGGGAAAAGAAAGGCCAACAAGTTATGTTTTAGAATTGTATGTGAAACGCCCAGATCCTATTCAGCCTTGGTGGGTGAAAAATCTGCTGACGTTGCGACCCATGAGATGGAGGAGGAGGGAAGAGGCACCGGCCCAGCATCTGATAGCAGCTTGCAAGGGGCTGGGGGGTGGCGTTGTGCTCAGGACCTTGATGAGTGTCTGATGCATCAATGGCCCTACTAGACCACTCTGTTGTCTCACAACAGCTGGGAATCCATTGCAGAAGGAGCTCTGGGACGTCTCCTGGCGCAAGTAAGGCAAACATGACCCCTGTACCACACCGACCTTGGTGACTACTAAGACGTCAGTCCCGTAAAAATAATTTTTGGACACCAAATATTGGAAGTTCACTTTGTACTGTTATTTGTATTTTAAGCTGGCTGGAGAGGTCCGTGAGTGAGATATCTATGGAACCAGAGGTTGGGAGTTTGATTCCCCCACTGTGCATCTCAAAAGAGCCAGCCTGGGTGGCCTTGGGCCAGCTGCACAGTCCCAGGATGACCCCAAAAGGAGGGAAGGGTAAACCACTTCTGAGTACTCTCTATCTGGAAAACTCTGAAAAGGATTGCCATAAGTCACAATTGACTTGATGACACACGATAATGATGGCGATATGTATTTTTTTAGGAATGAATACACTGTGGAATTTAGCTAAGTTGAATAGAATTACTCCTCAGTAAGAGCGCAAACTCAGCCAAATCTTAAGCATGTTTACCTAGAAGAAGGATTTTCTAACTGCAACAGGACCTGTCCTTCTGTAAGTGTGTGTGTGTGTGTGTGTGTGTTTTGCAGCACCAGTAGGGTTCCTACTTTTATCAGCTTCTGTAGTTACTCTGAATTCCAAAGGTAAGAGTAGTTTTTAATGGCAGAAGCAGTGAACAAAAAGTGACTAGGTTAGGGATAAATACTGTGCCTTGTTACTATGACCCAGTTAACAATGAGTTCAAGGCTTACACCAACACTTGTAAAATTGGTGGCTGGAAGATAATATTTTATTTCTCAAAATGATGAAGACAATGAATGTGAAGAATGAAATGTCACACGTAACACTGCCATTCCAGCTCAATCTTGTCCATCTGAAAGCACCATGTCAGCGTACCGAAGGCAGCGTTCCAGCGCTCGCTCAGATTACGCATCCAGCAATGACAGTTACATTGAACAGCCACTCCCCAAGCTCCATGCATTAGTCATGTGGAAGAGCTCATGCTGCAGGCAAATAAGCAGACCAGAAATCTGCTTCTCCCCTGCCCCCATCCATGTAGCCTATTTAATAAATAATTTCCATTTTCAGGACTTCCAAAAGGGTGGAAGAAGAAATGCTTTCTAGCGCAGATTCAAGACAGTGCCTTTTGAATAAAATATGGCCCAACAGTTTCATTTGGTAACTCTGAAGTCGAGAGCAAAACGTCCCTCTGATTTAACCCATATTGATCAGAGCTCCCTGTTTTCCCAAGCAGTGAGAAGTTCTGGGGTAATGTGAGAGAGATGAGTTCCTTTTGGAAAAACATCCCCAGTTTATAAAGACTTACGGTGTCTTAAGTAACACCTCCTCTATTTACAAGCCCTTCCTTACTGGACAGGCGAGAGCACAGCAGGCTGGGTAAGAAGATATGGATTATTCTTTACCTGCTCCACCTGGCACTTGGTTGAAGGCAGATCTATTTACGAGACAGTAAAGGTTACCTTAGTAAGAGGTTAGGAATCTACACCTCCATGCTCCCTTTGAGGGAGGCTAGCAATTTGGGTAAGGGGGTATTTAGAAGACCCCCCCTCTGTGTGTGTAAGGGGGTATTTAGAAGACACCCCCCGTGTGTGGTGTGTGTGTGTGTGAGTGAGTGACAGAGACCCTAACTGGCTTTTCAAGGTAGGAGATGTTTCAGGAGTGGTTTCACCAGTGCCAACCCCCCCCCACGAGTCCAACAGCCTAACCACTATGCCACTTAGCATACTCATTTGGAAGACAGGAGGACACTACTGAAAATAAGCAGACTTTTTAAAAAAGGATCAGCAGAATCAGTGCTGATTCTGCATCAGAGAACAGTGGGGGGGGGGAACACTATAGTCTCCCTCTCCCCCCCCCCACATACACACACAGTTGTTACCAGTCTAGCAAAAATCACAGCTCTCTCTCTCTCTCTCCGCCTATCAGTCAGAACTGTCAGCAGTCTTTCTCCTCACATACACAGGCTCAAGGAAATTATTCATTCACAATGAAGACTTAGACCACATTGAAGGAAACATCAGACAATCAACTATGAGCAGGAAATAATCAGCATAACAAGATGGCTGCTTGACTTCAGCATCATAATCACTCCCAACCCACAGAAAACCTGTTTCTTCAAATCAGACGCTTACACAAGACACAGAATCATCTGTTGCAAAAGTCCAAATGTACGGATTCCTCTTTATATGACCATATCAAACAGGCTAGGGTCCATGCATCTAAAAGACCGCCCACCCACCAACATCTCCTTCAGAGACCCTTCCCGTGGCACCCCTTGCCTTTGGAAGTTCACCCAAGGACTAATGCATGTCGGCAATGTGCCCTCAGTCTAATGGTCATCCCTGGGGTACAGGGAGCCTTGCCCGTCTGTTTGTGGGGGGCAGGGTTTGATTCAAAACCCAGAAGTAAACAGGAATTGAACCGGGCTGCCACTGTGCAGCGCCAATGGAGCTCTGTGCGCCCCCACGTGCATGCATCTTAAAGGGAACATTGGATACAGGATGATTCCTGGATTATTCAACTTCCATCCAGACATTTTTCATTGAATCCTTTGAATCACCAGACAAAAGACCTGCTCTCCCACACCCTCAATGACTCTGACTGGGCTTTCTGCCCTTTCAATTCTCCAGTGTTTATTGCTTTATTGTGCTTTTGTTTTATTTTAATGTTTATTTCACAAAAGGAAAGAGAAAACACTTGAAATAAAATAAACAATTGCTGTGGTTTTCTGAGGGTTCAAAAATGTCACAGCCACCTCTAAAATAGTCATCTAAGGATGGGCAACATCACCCCCAGGAATCAGCAAGGTAAAGCTAAACACATGAAAGGAAGGGGCAGAATCATTTCATGGTTTAGAGCAGGATTGGGGAAACTTCAGATGTTGTGGGACTCTAATTACCATCACCCCTCAAGCCTGGCTAATGACAAGGGATGATGGGAGTTGTAGGCCAACCACTTCTGGAGGACAACTGGTTCCTCGCTTCCTGGTTCTGGAGGATCAGGAATTGTATGTAATAGCCACTCCATGGACACTCCTTGAACTCTTCTTCCAAGGAAGGTTTTTGATTTTTGCGGGGAGGGGAGATATGGGCATGACCCTATTGGGAATTATAAGCAATTTATTTCAAAATGTTCAACATTATCACAATGTGAAGAGAAGCTATAGAAAAGAAAGGCTCTGAAGCGGCATCGAAACTATCTAAGGGTTTTATCAGCTGATTCTTCCACTGTGGAAGCACCACTGGGTTGTTCTTCATCCATTTAGCATGCCAGTCTCACAGCGGACTGATAGGAATTGGTAATCAAAATTCTTCTCAGATTTTCTTGCCTTGGTTGCTCAGCATCTCCTATATCTCACTTGTGTTTAAGGAGTTAAGAATCCAGGATAAAAGCCAATAATTGAGTGTTAAAAACTCTAAAAATATACACAATGAATTACCTTTGTTTTACATTTAGCCACAAACAAGGATGTTACTTCAGGCATTTAATATTCCACTTACCGATAGCTTTGATAGATTCTCCAGGAAAAAGTGGAGCCTCTTCCATCTGGGCGAGCTTGTTTCCATCCCTCAGCGCCTGGCAGAAATCCAAAGCCAGAAGTAAATCTCACATTCCATCTGCACCACTTCAAAACGTAAAAAAAATATAGGATGTTTCCACTAGGAAGTTATGGGGAACAACACAAACTCTAGCTCGTTCTTTCTGGGCCCTTTAACACCATGGACTGGAGAGCAGACACCCACTTTGTCACGGTTAAAAGAGATCAGGAATGAATAACACAAATGCGTGTTTTCTCCTACCTGTGCAAACATGTGCAAATTGCCCTCTCTTTTAATTTCAATTAAAACATTTCAGAAACAAGGATAGCTCGAGCTGACCAAGGTGTTCACTTAGCCAGGATCTGAAAGGTTGGTCAAACACGTTTTGTAGCAACATCTTAAACATGCTTGATATTGCTGCAGTTGCAAGGCTCAGATGAACTGAAGACAAAAGGGTCTGGATTAGTTCCCAAGAGGCAAGAGGGAGACCAGGGTTATCCTGCACCCTGCCCTGGATCCCTTAACGATGTCTGCTCAGGTTCCATGCAGCATTAATGGACTCAGAGGGTCTTGCCGTTAATTATGTGCTACAAAATACGGACAAAGAGTTGTAAAACATGAGTTAGTATGAAAACATTTACACAAAGATTAGCTATGCCAATCAGCACATACAAAAGGTGAGCCAAAATTCAGGAAACCTTATGAATAAGTGTTTTACATGCATCTCCCAAATAAGCACATTGCCATGTTATACTCTAAAAATGTTGGCCTATCAAGTATTTTCAAGAAGTGGACTTTTGAATTTCTTAGCTGCTTGCTGTCTGAAACACAGTTTTTTTCAAAATGTATATATTATATATATTTTAAATGAATGTTTTTAAAAATGTGTACTATTAATTTCTTCTGTAACACTATTAGATTATAAGGCTTATACTGGAAATCCTGTTCTACATTGTTATATACTGTACATATATTACAATATTATTACAGTGGCATCAAGTGAAGACTACAAATGGAGAGGTTATTTCCAGGACAGAGTTATTCCGTTTTGTTTCCTGCATTTTGATAGTAGGGCTTGATTCTCTCCACTCCCCCTCTTCCTCTCTTAATAAGCCTGCATGCTATTCCTGCGACAGTTTTTGCAGGACAAAGCCAGTCAGTTCTGGAACAAGCTGCCCAACCTTCTGTTCTCCTGTTTTAATTTAGCTTTTTTTCCTGTTGCTTGCTAGCCTTCCTATCCCAATGGAAGCTTTCTGCTGCAAAACAGCAGATTTTCCTTCCTGAGAGCACTAAGAGCAGGAGGCCAGATCCGCAATTAAACTCCAGACGCTCCCCACTGAAAATCCAATTGGAAGCTTGATCAAACACCGGTTGTGCACCTGTTGATCTGACTGTGGCACTTACAAGAAAGAAGATTTAGAAATCTGCTTATCTTCAGATTATAACCACGTCTACACCATTCTTCCACAATAAATAGGTAGATCATGCTTTTGAATGGCGCTACAAATATTCTAATAACAGGAAGTGCAAACTGTTACTTTACACTCCTGGCTTATATTTGGTCCAAAAACACAGGGGAGATGGACAATATATAAAGACTGGTAAATTGTTTTAGGAAAATATTGTTCTGGCCTTGATGCCTTTCTTGAGAACATACAATATTTCTACATAAAGTTCCAGAGTAAAATTTGCAATTAAGATCTGGCATGAACAAACATCTGGCTAATTTTACAAGGAATCCCCACATATGTTCACAACTTCTGCAGCATTTTTTATTTGCAAGTTAGGATTAATACTGCAGACCTTCTCACAGATGCCTTCCTATATGGCCAACTGATGACGCTGCAGGTGTGTTGGCTCAGTCAGAGCCTGCTGGATCCTTGTGAAGAAACCAGCCAATTTATCACATGATTTCAACCAATTAAAATGTAAAACCCTGTTTGTGTCATTCTCTGCTATATGGTATACTAACTGGTGCAATTAACTTAACTCATTCATTAACGACATTTAAATGTAGACTTTAATGGGCTCTTAATTACACTCTTTACTATGTACTATTCAGTTCAGCTGGCCTTTCTGCAAATTTATATACACTACTTCACATAAGTGAAAATTATATGCAGAAAAACTATAGGCATTTTTCTAGATTTGAGGTTCAGTCATCTAAAAATGTTAGTCACTGTGTATAACCAAATACCACCTGTACGGGTCTTGTAATACTGAAAATGTTTAAGCAGCCCATTAACTGATTAAATGGCAGCTAATGAAGTTAATTCCATTAGTATTTTTATTGACAACCCCCCCCCCGGTGAACAATGGTTCTGTATTGTTTCATGTGACCCTCCTGCATTATTTAGACTTCATCGCCAGGATCCAAAAAACTGCACAAGCAGCTCTCTGTGTCCAAGGCAATTCTGATCTTGGGTTTTCTTCAACAGTAGCCCCACCATCAGAATGCCAAAGGTCCAAACTACCAAAGCAAAAGATTTTAAAAAAATCCTGATAGGCATCTCTTGTGGGAATCGAGAGCGGCCTTTGGGTTCATGGCCAATTACTGTATAAACATCAAGTTCTTGTTTTACTCTGAAGCCCCATTTCCTAAGTAGATTATTCAAGAGGACACAGACACAGTGGATGTCTACCCTCATTGCTTCTGTGGGAGTCAGAAGGCCGAGGAATGCGAAGTCCATAACTCACGCTATTAAGTTGCTATGACTGAGTGACAAAGGGGAGGATAAGGAGGTGGGAATCATGCCCTCCACAATGCAAGAGGTTGTACAGCTAGAACAGTCTTAATGAGATGCCACCAGTGGACTGTGCTGGTTGCTCGGAGATACTGCACAGCTACACATCATCTCCCTCTTGCATTCAGGGACAATGACCTAGTGCTGCTGTCCATAAACACACACACAAACTCTGCATGGATTGTAATATTCAAGTCCTATACTCTGCCCTGGGTAGGATTCTTGCTGTCCATAAACACACACACACAAACTCTGCATGTATCGTAATATTCAAAGTCCTATACTCTGCCCTGGGTAGGATTCTGTACGATGCATCCAGGAGTGAGCGGCATACAGTGGGACCCAATAAACTGGGTCAACAGATGCCCAGTTACCACTCCAAGGCCTAGTACACTGGGCACTTCTGCAAATAGCCTTCAAGGATGAGCTGCTTAGAACAGTTGAGAAAAGAGCTGCTTGTAATCAGAATCTGGAGCGGCCATGAGTATAAGCAATATTTGTACAAGCTAACCTCCATATGCTTCTGGAACGGGGCAAGATTGTGGATGTCACTTTCAGTATTATAAAACGAATCTAAGAAACAATAAATCTGGCAATGCTTTTGAACTCCTCTACAAATATTACCTGACTTGCACCTTTAACATACATCAGCATAAAACACAGCATAAAAATAATCTTCCCCTCTAATGATAGCTAGGAACAATGATAGTTCACAAACCTTGGATCCAATGGAAAGAGAACAAACGCTAGAATGATGTGCTTTTAAAAAAATAAGCACTGGGTAAAAAATAAAACTTTGTAAAACACTTCTCAGACACATGGAATGGAGATTACGAAAACTAAAATGTTTACATCTCTACCACTCAAGAGTGACGTACTATGTGGTTAGATAACGAAATACAAGTAAAACTTGCCACCTGATCAACTTCTGCGTCAGAAGGATAGCCATTGTGTCCATCCTGTATCTCCTGAATAGCATGGTGCAGCAGTAGGCAAGCAGAAGTAATAGGGGGAAAAACATGCACATAATAGGTGAAAGGACAGAATTTTTATTTTTTAAGAGACAGTAGATACTTCAACATATTTCATCAGCTTTTTTTTTTTGGTCTCCTGCAAAGATCAAGTACATCAAATATATATTTATGGCCTCTATTAAATCCAGTAGTGCTTTTTAATTTTTTTTTAATCAAGCGAATGGAAATGTGTACATTCCTATCCTTTGGAGAGCAAGTTCAGATACCAAAGAACCCAAAGTATGTACTGTCTTTCTGAAAACAAGCAACCCTTAAAACAGCAAAGACAGAACGTGGAGCAGGTCAACATGCTTAAAACAAGAGAAGAAATTCATTACAGCACATTATAACAGCAGAAAAGAAAAAACCATGCAGTTTTTTTCTTTTTGTTCTTGGTTTTAAGATTAAACTGTTACGTAATTTCCATCCACCCAAAAAATATTAACTCAAGTTAAAGTGGTTGTTGTGGATTAAAGTTAAAGTACTGCTCAGACCTTAAGGGTGCCCTTTGAAGATCTGCTTATTTGCAGAACTATAACATTCTGCTATCAGAGCAAAACAATTCAGGTTCAAACTGTAACCATTTCTGATAAACAGTTTAAGATGTCATTGTTTGAAAAATATTTCCAAATGCCAACTGGGTCAGTAGAATAATGTAACAAAACATTCAGAGGGTTTTATTCTTTGCTTTTTCCCCATTTACATACACATTTAAAGTCTCTGCAGTTGACCAAAAGGTCACCAGAGCTTATGATATTTTCTCACATTGACTTGTAAAGAAGCAAACAGTTAAGAGCCTCTTTATCTCAGGTTGGCCCTAGATCATAACTGGTGAAAGGGAAGATCTATTATTTCAACAGACAACACTAAATATTTGGAAGCCAAAAGCTATATTTATAAATTTTTTCTCCATAAAACACAGTCGAGGCATTACTGATCCAGAGAAAAACATGCATGTTTTATTCTTTACTTCAAACTTAGAACTTCTATACTTCCATAGCGAAGGCACATCAGTCCAGCTACTAGAGTTTTAGATTGCTATGCTTTATGGCCAAACATAATATGCAAACATTGTCTAAGCAAAGCCAGGTTAATGGCTTTGTAAATTAATGAGCCAAATTTGGGGATGAAACTAGACAACTAGATACATTCTTCAGGACTTCTTTCAGTAATTCCTCTTATACCACAAAGTAAAGATCAGCTGAGTTTTTAGAAGCCAATGGTCAAACTTTCAGATGATTAAGGTGTCCAACTTTTATTACAGGCACAATATTGCTTTCATAGAAACCTTCCCTACATCGACAAGAGAAGTGAAGAGGGTGGAGTCCCACAAGAGAACTATGGCAGTCCCACAAAAAGTTGCTGAGAAAGAATCTGGTTGGATTCTGAACCATCCGATGTACAGGGAAGGAAGGAAATGCTGAAGCAGCGCAAACCTTAAACAATCCAGAAGCTCTGAACTTTAAGATTTGTAAAATTTCACCCTCTCTCTTTGTTTCTGTGCAACACAATTATTATTACAGATAAAGTCTCTTCATAAAGGAGGTAAAGCACTTCACACACACTCTTTTGGGAAAGCAACATCAGTCAGAAAACTTACCTTTCCCTTCCTTCAATCGGCTTGCACAGGGGCTGGAAGAAAGTTGTAGCTATACAAGAGGTGTCTTGCTTTTATTACTCCATAGTAGTTTGGAAGTATTTCTAACTTCCAAAAACGTATCCAGCAAGAAATAGAGACAGCAGTCTCAAGAGAAGCTGACTGTTCTGGCAGGAGCTAAGTTGAATGCCAGCCTTCCAAATTTGTCTTCAAAGATGCTAGTTTGAGAATCTATTAGCTCTCCTAGTCAATCACATATACCCATTTTCAGCCCTACTGGTGCACAGAAAGTTGTAGGACAGGACAACTTTGTTCCTGCCTGTTATTGCATTATTTTAACGACTACAAAAAAAAAAAAAAAAAAAAAAATTCTTGTTATTGCATTATTCTAACGACTACAAAAAAACAAAACTAGACCAGCAGCTGTTGAACAACCTGTTCTCTGCTCTGTCTCTGCCCATTTGGAAATGAGAGTGCACGGAAAATATCAACACAGGTTCATCCTTGAACAACAGTGCCTGAAACATAATATCCCTCCCTTTTCTTTGCTAATCTGAAATAAAACAAACACAATGCATAGTTTTGTATCTTTATACATCACAAGCTTCTCTGTAAAGGCTTCTAAGTAAAGTGTAACCACTGAATGACAATTTTTAGCCCCTCTGGGAGAAAGATGTAGGTCATCTCCCTGGGATCACAGACTGGGATCACAGACTCGGCATCTCTTCAATAAAAGCCTAGCAATTTCAGCAATGTTTGCATAAATGCAAGCATGGATTGAAACAATCTTATTTAAGTAGGGCAAACTAAGACTTATGGCTTGTTATTAAACTTCCTCTTCTAACGTCTTTAGCATACAGAACACATTAAGGTTGCTAATACAGTACTCTGTATGTACTAAAGCATGTCACCATCAGTTGAGACAATCCATTTTGCCAGAATTAAGGTAATAAAATTTAAGCTAGTACCATGCATTTTCAACATAACATGAAAATACTGCGCTCTCACACACTGGCTTTTATTGCTCAGGAAAACATTGTAATGTACATAAAACATTTCTATGGGAAACAAGCTGTTGCACTGCATAGCAAGATGGCCCAACTGGTTTAAAACAACCATTAATGAAATAAAGAAGAACACTAAGGCACACTGAGTTCTCAACACAGCACAAAAAACACAAACAGGTAAGAGGCTGATTTGCTGATAGCCACATTTATTCTTACCCTCAGAGTAGGCCGCCTGTATACCTGTTAGTTAAAATACAGATATTATCCAACAAGCATTGCATTCAAATCCAAAATTCAGGCAATACTACCTACCATCTCATCTTTTACAGCCTTATGTTCCTAGAAGTAGACTAATGAACATGTTACTGTTTATGGGAGCATGTAAATGTTAAGCAGAAAAGAAGCAAAAGTTCATCAAGCAGCCAGGTGGATTTTGTCTTACATCTCTTTAACTTGCCTCCCATCTCTTCAATTACTTTCTTGACAGGGTAAAGAAAAGAAATCAAGAGATTCAAGCCATGTCACACTATAACAAGTTGCATCAAGAAGCCCTAGGGGAAGAATAGTCTCTGCCTACAGATTCTGTCATAGTGCTTAAGCAGCCAACAGGATTGCTTTCTTAAAAAACAAACAAACAACACAGTGACAAGGGGGGGGGGAAGAGACACAGGTTTTGACAGGAACACAGGAATGTTTCCACTGCTATACAAAACACTGTTCTCAGAGTGTATTCACAACTGAAATAGTAAGATTTAACCTATAACGAACTGAAGATTTACAAAACTGTGTGTACACAGCAGGCTCCTGATTAACTGTGCTTACAATCACCTGTAATCATGTACTTAAGCCCTGTTGATTTCAAGGGAACTTGAGAAAGCTGAACTTAACAATGGATTACACCTCAATTAGGCACAACTCAAGTACTGGATTTTAAAAAAAATCTTTTTCAGTTCCTAATAAAGAACCAGATTAGTCTCTCTATATCCATTCAAGCCTACCATGGAGGGAAATGGATATTATAAAAAACTACGAAATATAAAACAGGGCACCTGATGGCCTTCCATAACCACACATCTGCTGAGGCAGAACGGCAGTCTGAACTGAGAGGGGACAATGGAGTGCGTTTCGGTACAGACACACACATACAGTGCCTTGCAAAGACCACACAAACCATCTTCACTGTTTCACTGCCGCTAACAAATGTTTAGAACTTTTCATTATACTTAAAGAAGAGCCTCATGGCGCGGTGGTTAAACTGCAGTACCGCAGTGAAGGCTCTGCTCTGTGACTTGAGTTCAATCCCAGGCTCAGGAAGTGAGCATGAGGTTGACTCAACCTTCCAGGGTTGGTAAATTGAGTACCTGGATCACCGGGGTTGGGGTGGGAGAATGTCTAGCCTTATACCAGAGGGATACATTGCCAGCAGTTCAACCCAATGAGGGGAAATACCTGATTCTCAAGTGACACAGAGAATTACAACGGAATAATCCTAGCTTTAAAAGATTCATTCCTTTTAAACTGTGTGTGCGATGTGCAGAGAGACAGATGTTAACATAAAAATGCTCTGCTCCTGAGGACTGTATCAAAACTCCCTACTGCATTTAACACCACGCTGTAAAAACCCAAGCACAACAATACCAAATTTACCACAAAGCTTTATCAAAGGCAACAGCCATGATGATCCAGAGAGAATATTACATTCCGCTGTTGCACACTGCAGGGTATTCAAGCACAATATGCTGACTGTGGCTATGTAAAGAAAAACACTCAGGACGGGAATTTTTAAACAGACGGCCCTCCGCTATGCTTCAATGGAGTCATCTCCAAGCACATGCCGACTATTTTCTATGCTCGTAGAAATTTAAAGAATGTGCTACTTCTACCACCATCTGAACCTTGAGAACACTGCTAAGATTACTTAATTTTGCTTTAAATGAAACAAGATACTTCTTGATTCAGCTATGGTGATTTGTCTTTGCTTTTAATTGAAACAAGAGAAAGATGAACTACAAGTTTCCTTCTCACTACGACTGGCAGTAAAAACCTCAAACTAAGCAACAGTTTTAGATTCTGAATTGCATCAACATTTCAGCTTTACAAATGAAGTATTATATGGTGCAATTTTAATCTTTTTTTTTAAAAGAAGGTGAAATACAATATCACCTTGTTGCTTTCCAGCTTCCTTTCACATCTTATTATTACAGAAAGAACTACATGGCACTGATTATATAAATGCATGAATACATTAACAAACTTACCCGGTATTCTCTGGATATATTGTCTGAGGGCACAGCACCTGAAATCTGGCTAGAAATTGTAGCAGCTATGAGTTGCTTACACCATTCAACATGGGATCCTGTGGGGCTGAAAGAACAACAACAAAACAGAGTATTTAGTCAAATATTCTTGTTTTACCTAAATATAAGCACAGGGCATTGGTTTAGATCCTACATTACTGCCAAACTCAGGACAATCCTCAAAGGCTTGCTTTGCACATGCTCTGTGCCTCAGCCCCTCCCTCCCTGCTTGCAGGTCTCCTCTGCCCCAGTAAGCAAGAAGTGCTGAATGCAAATGGCTAAAATCCTGCCGCTTTATAACCTTAAGTAGCACTAAAGCTGGTCCAAGGCATCAGTCAACTCCACTGATTCAAATGGGCCTACTCGCATTGTGACTTACAGTAATCACCAAACCTCCAAGGATTCAGTGGGCCTACTCTAGTATAACTTGCTATGCTAAGCAACAGGATCTCAACCAATACGTAAACATGCTTATAAATATTTACACACAATTTAAAAGTTATTTGAGGTGTACAGAAAAACTTTACTGGCATGCAGTGGCAAATGTATACTTATATCTTTTAATGACTTTATGTAGCAGAATAGATTTCTGGCTCACTGTGTGAAGCAGGTTCCCAAAAATATTTTAGTTCCCTATCTCTAAACTAAATTAAAATTTTATTTTTTTTAAAAAAAGTGCGAATCCATAGAGACATAACCTTCATTAAACTAGAGCTATCACATATTATTAGAAGGTGCTAAAAGAATACTGAAGTTATATAATTTAACTAGCATAAAGCTAAGAAGGAAGAGAGAGAGATTTTAGTTTAGCATGTTAATTTCAACAGAACAACTGCAGCTGTTATCGATAAAAGAGAAAGTTCTGAATAAACACGCCTCGTTGTGGGGTGACATGCAGCTATGCAACAGTAGCATCAATAGGACACACTAGCATTATACACATTCAAGAAGTAGATCTTACACAAACACCTTTAGGATTCTGGCTATAGATTTAGTTTGCCCATCTCTATTTTTCACTGTGGTTGAAATCATGCAGCCCAGCTCCGTGTGCACGATAGAAATGACAGCAGCAGCAAATCTCTGCTGATTAAAGACTTCCTTTGGTGACTTCAAGGGTAAATGTGAATCATACACAATGTTGCTAAAATCAGCAAAGGAGGCCTTTGATCAGTGGCAATTTGCCACTGCTGATGACATTTCCATTGCACAAATAGGGATGCGCAAAAGTATTTCAGTCCCTGTTTTAGATCAACTCACCTATTTGGAAATGAATTGTACCAATTCTGAGCAAAAGCATAATTGGAAAAGAACATTCTCCCTGTCTTTCTAGCATTTTCCTGTAGGATGCTGCTTAAGCGTAACGAGAAATAATTTCATTTCATACAGAGGTAACCATTTCAAAGAATCTAACAGTTAGAATAAAATCCACTTGATTAAAAAAAACCCTTTTCAAACAAAACAGTTCTGCAAAGTTTAAAGGAACCAGCAATATTTAAATTAGTATTTGAAAAAGTTCTACAAAACACTGGTTCATTATTCCACTGAACAAAAAGAAAGACAGAAATACAAGCTGTGGGAAGAATCTAACTTGAAAACAGAAAATTTATAGCAATTTAAGCATCTTTTTGCAGCCAAAAACTGGGGTGGGGTGGACTACACACTATGATGCTTTTTGGAAACAGTAAATCCAGGGGCTTAAACTGGATGATCTATTAAGTATTCTTCAGGTTTAGCAAGAGGATCTTTTTTTCAGGAATGTCTAAGCACTCAGGAAAAACATGAAAGCTATTTCCTAAAACAGCCAGAGGGGTCTGGCATTAAAGCCTAAGAAGAGTGCCAGATTCTGGAAAGCAAAATTGGAATCTGAGCCATGCTGCAAACAACATCAACAAGAGAAATGCTAACAAGGATGGAATAAGGGACAAACAAAATGTTCTTAACATGTGGTGTTTTTTTTTTAAATGTAGCCCACTCTCACCAACTGAAAGCTCAAGGAAGAAGGTATGTTATACACACAACAGCCAGTGTGATGTAGCTATTAGAGAAAGATATCAGAAGTGAGAAAACCCAGGTTCAAACTCCTTGTCCGACATTAAATTCACTGGATAACCTTATTTATTTATTATTTATTTACTTCTCCCCCCTCTTTGAAAAGGACCCAAGATGGCTTGCAACAATGAAAGACAATATTTAAAGATGAAAATGATGAGTATACAATGGTGGTTATCATTAAAAGACAATATTTAAACATTATTGTAAGGAGACATCTTACATCAATTAACAGGCAACATGAACGCAAAGATCAATAAGTATACAAAAATAAAAATGTCACTCTGGGAAATGCAGAACACAAGTAGTACTAACAATCCAGTCAAAGCAGTAATGAATAACAGTCTATCTAAGAACCACAGACATTGTAGCTGATAACCTTAGATCTGTCACATCCTCTTAGCATGGTTGACAGAATAAAAAAGCACAGGGTTCCTGCATCTTCAGCCGCCTGCAGAAGAGGGTATTTCAGCGATTATAGATTCACTCTTCTACATAACTACAATACAGAAGCCCTGTTCTTTTTGCATCTGACAACTCATAAATCTTAACCCATCTTTTCTTACAGAATTATTGTGCAGTTTAAAGAGTACCATGTGCTGCTTTTATCACCCTGGTGGAAAGTAAATGGAGTAAAATATAGTACAACCAAATTTGAGACAGTTAATATCAGAGACTTGGTTATTCTTTTCTAACACATACTGCTGGATTGAAAAATGACACTATTGAGTTGACCCTAGGGTTGACTCACCCAGTTTTTCTTAAAATTAAAATTGTTGTTAATGATTTCCTTTATTTTAAGTAATTCTCTTTCCCAGTGTTCATGAGACACCCTTACACAGCTTTAAACTTATCTTTGACTACTTGCACGAAGCTTCAGTATTTATGAAGTACGTTATCTGTCTGCAGTGGCACCAACATGAATTTCATTTCTAGAATAACATAGTACCAAAATGCTTCAGGTTTCCTCAGTAATCTCTGTAATCATCATGTAAGAGAGATGTTCAGTGTTAACATCCCCATAAGAGGTGGCAGTGTTGCCATCCACTGTGTTTGTAGGAGAGGCAATGCTTTAATTTGGGACTTTGACTCTAAAATGGATTCCTTAGTCCAGAATCCTACTAACTGCAATTAGCCATAATGTGCTATGGCTAATTGCAGTTAGCTGATAAGGTAGTGGGTTCTGACTCAGCTGCATGACACATAATAAACCTGATTTGGTGCAACCAAGAAGCCCCTGTAGCAAACTGCACAAACCTTACACAAACACCAACAAAATCCTGACTTATATCAGCTGTCTTGAATGCCAGGCTTAACAGAAAGAAGGAATATGAGTTTAATAAGGAGTTACACCAGCTTTGAACATAATGCACAGCAAAAAAATCCTCCTAGACATAAATGCCCATAAACGTAACACAAACCATGTACTATTTACCTTGGGAGGCAAACTGCCTCAAGTTGGGAAATCACCACAGTGAAAATCAGCATGTAACAGGCAATGCCTACGGTGCTTTCTTAACTTGAATCAAGTTGCCTCCCAAAGGCAGACCATTTCCATTGCACCAGTGTAAAATCCCAAGATGTCTGCCACAAGTAATACTGCCGTAATTGCTTATGCTTTAACACCTGTCTAAATTATTGCAATCAACCATTCACCTGACCACTACTTGGCTTAGCTTCTTGTATAAAAGGTGATGATGGCATTGTTCGCAACCTTCCTTTTTATTCAGGGAGATGCTTCCATGAGTAATCTGCCCTTTCCTGCAGACTAGCAACTGCTGGAAACTTAGTAAGAAGTTGTAGGAAGCGTTTTGCTGTAGGAAGAGCATACATGACATTAAAGGTGGGGCACAAGCACACCTCAATGTCCTCCGGCATAAATTCTGATGAAATAAATGACGTGCAAGGGCCAATAACTTCTCCTAATGTCGTCTGGGAGGTCCCAGTTTTAAGTTTATGACTACAGACCCTCCAAACATAAGATGCAGCAGCGAGAAAGTGTCCGGCACGGATTGCAAGGAATGCAGAGGACCAAGAAAGGGGGGGGGGGGGGAGAAAGAAAAAAAGAGCAACAGCGCTCACTTTCGGCCTCCCTCTTCTTCCAGCCTCTCTCCTGCAAAAGTTTACGAGCTGCACCTGGAGATCCTCCTCCTCATCATCATCATCCTCCTCCTGCGCCCTCGTCTTCTTCCGTCCCCCACAGGGCAGGACAGGAGGGGGCCCCGACTCCGCCACTGAGGGGAGGGGCGGCGGCCTTCAAGGCTCTTTTGGTGGCCTTCCCCCCTCAACACCCACGCAACTACACACACACACACAGACACACAACCTGTGCAGCCCAACTCCCAAGCGCACCCTGGCAAGGAGGGAGGGGGGACTCACCCCTGAGGGGGGTTGGAGTGTCTCTCCCGCGCCTCCCCCAACGACGCAATTCACGGGGTACACACCGTGTGTGTGTGACACTGACACAAACACACACACACCCCGCCCCTCCTCTCCACCGACCTGTCCAGGGCCTCCACGCTGGTTCTTTTTTAAGTCATCCTGCTGGATGTGCAATTCGGCTTATTCAAAATGAATATAGATTTTGAATTCTGGGATTATATTCCAAACAAGTATTTTTTTCGAGCTCTAACAGATTACCATCTTATACTTGATTGTAACTGATTTGTAATAATTGATCTGTAACTCATTTTTAATAGTTCATCTACGTTAAGATTGGAAGTTAGGTGATTATCCCATTGGCTGCGAAGCATCGTAATACAAGACAATATTAGATTATCGTGAACACTGTGTTTCCATTTTAAGTATAATACTCCCATCACAAAGCTTCTTCCCAGGCTTCTTTGTTCCCTTTTCAATTGTAATAGGCAACCTTAACCTCATAGATTCTACTATTTTTCTGTTATCAGCAAATCCACTGTTACTGTACACACTTAATAAGGTTTATTGCATTAGTGCCCTTCGGGATTAGGCTATTGATTCATTATTACTAACACGTTTATAAAAGACCAGATATGTTGTCTATTATCCTCCCATTACTCCCACAACACACACACATACAGAGGTGACCTCTCTCTGTACCTGTATAGGTGTGATCTTTATAAGGGACACGCACCCACCCAGGAGGACACAACACTCCAGATAGTAAAAACAAAAGGGGAATGGCTATGTATAGGTGTGTGTATGTGACACACACGTTGTTACATACAGATAGATGCAAACTCAGGTGTGTCCCCCTGCTTCGCCTCTTGGTCTCTGCCAGATGTGTGTTTAAAACTCACCACCACCCCCGCAAGAGTAAGTGGAATAGAAGTCGATGAAGGGTTAGAGACACATAGTCCAAATCCAGGGTGTTCTGATGGATCGATGGGCAGATGGCACGTACAAATAAGACAGTATTAAACCCTGAACACTTAATTAGCTCTGCAAACAACTCAGGAAAGCTTTGAACTGCCTCCCACCTCCTCCTTAGCTGGTCTAACGACTGACAAATGGCAGGAAATGTACGGCCTGGGTGATCAATTCTGTATGTACTCCAGTAGCCATGGGGTCAGTCCCAGCAGTGGACATCCGGATAGCAAGGTTCAGACCATTCCTCTGAAATAACCAATTGTTGCCTAGCTAGGTATGTCAGTAAAACTAGCAACCTCTATTTCTCTCTCTCTCAAGTTTCAGAAAAGACAAGGCAGGTTCTTTCTTTCTCTCAAGTTTCAGAAAAGACAAGGCAGGCAGCATTTCAGAGATACACCACATTATGCCTTACCTATTTAATATCCCATCCTGCTTGACAATGCCCTGTCCCGAGGTGGCTACTCAGTAACAATCTTGTGCAATGCAGTGAACAGTGGCTTATTTCCACTTAAATCATAATACGTAATGATGTCTGTGTGGTGATGTTTGCATATACAGTTTCCCTGAAAAGAAGACCTAACCTGAAAATAAGCCCTAGAATGATTTTTCAGGATGCTCATAATATACAAGCCCTATCCCAAAAATAAGCCATAGTTGAGTGAAACGCCACCTTCCACCATTGTGAAGCAACCAGAAGATGACATGACTGTATCTGAATAAACGTAGATTGTTGTACATGAAAAAAAATCCCCTGAAAATAAGCCCTACTGCTTTTTTTGGAGCAAAAATGAATATAAGACCCTGTCTTATTTTCTGAGAAACACGGTAGTCATTTGAGCCAGCATTTGCAAGTTAACGCAAAAATGTTCTTCTTGTGTTCCTTTGCCCTATTTATTTATTTATTTAATTTATACCTCGCCTATCTGGTCATTTTGAACACTCTGTCCTCCTTTTTTGGTGATGGAGCAGTGGCCACCCTGGGTAGATGTGGGCTGGGTCAAAGCTTACAGCTGTAGAAAAAATAATGTACAACAAAAACAAACCAAAGGAATCATTAAAGTAATGACTGGAGTGCCCAATGATTTGGTTCAAATGGCCAAATCTCACCAATATAGTCCCCCACCCCTCTTTCCTATAAATGGCTCTCACCTTGGTGTGATTCTGTTTCAAAGACCTTAACAGGAAAAATGTGATAAACATCTTTTTTAAAAAGAGGTTTGATATTGGTATTTGTAAAAAGAAAATTGTCATGACAGCAGATTACAAAGAAAATAAAATATATTTTTTAAAAGGGCACTTTTTCTTCTCCACTATATCTGCTAATGGTATTTAAACTCAGAATCATTAGGAAGTGTAACAGAAAAGCGCCTGCCTGTCTTGTACCACTTCACTGTCCATGGTTCCATCTGTAAGGCTGAGAAGGTAGCTATTGTACTTAAAAAAAAAAACAAAGGGGGGGGGAGAGTAAAAGAAGCAAAAGTGTGGTGCAGTGGTTATAATACTGGATTCCGTCTTGAAAAGTCCACATTGGGGTTAACTCTGAGCCAGAAAACTCACTGCATGGATTTTGGCTAGTTACTTTCTCTTGGCTTGACTTATAGGGCTAATGTGAGAAAGAACAGGCAGGACACACAAACAAGAGCTAAACAAACATCTATCAAATTCTAAAGCAGTCTGACAACAGGTTATAACTACTTTGGAGGAAGGGTTGAAAAAAACAGCATGCATACTCCCCCCCCCCAAAAAAAGACCAACCGTTTTTTACAATAAACAAGATCTCCTGATTCTGTCCTAACGGTAAGCCATAATTGATAACTAACATGCATGAGAAAAGTTAGGAGACAAAAGACAAAGAACTCTGACTAATTCACCCGTGGGGTTTCTAGCTGCCGTGAAACCTGCATAACAAGTCCAAGACCTTCAAAATGGCTGTCATGCCGAGTTCGGTCATTGCAATATTGTTTGATTAAGAAGGCGATGTCCTCTACTGTGCAATGCCACTGACGGTGGCACGGAAGTCCTTCTGGCTACTTACATGGAGCACAGGTGGGCAACTGTGTGCCTTCGGATATTTTCAGACCACACCTCCCATAATACTTCACAATTCGCTATATGAGCTAGGGCTCATGGAATTTGTAGGCTAAAAACAAATCTGAAAGGCCAGAGTTCCTGGAGAATTGGGTCAGGCTGTACATTTTACCAGAAAAGAAGCATAAAGAAGTGTTTGCTGTTTATTTTGTATGACTTAAGCAGGTATTAAAAAAAGAATCAAGTGAACTTTCACCATGATACACTTTCCAGAACAACATTATATTCTCCACAAATCAAGATAGAGTGCCACCAGTGCTGGGGACAACATAAATCAATGGTATGGAAATAATGAGAAGGCAAGTGTATTTAAATTTGTTTTACAGTATTCCCCACTCCCCCCCCCCAAAAAAAGAGTTGAGCAGGTAGTGTATTACTTAGTAAAAACTAGTGACCTCTTCATTCATTAATAGCAGACACAATGAAAAACACACTCATCGTAGATATACAACCAGCAGAACATTTTAGGGTTGCAATGAAAAATGAGATGTTTATAACAGTATACTGAAAGCACACAAAAGGCAATTTATATTAGAATCTGCATAGCTTTTCAGTTGCAGAGCTTTATATTTTGCCATTTAGAAAAGACTGATGGGATAATTTTGAGTTTCCATGTAATTCAAATTATGCATTTCATTTTCAGAATGGCTTCCCTTGCAGGAAACAAAGCAATCTATATGTGCAATGAGATACAGAAGACAAAAGAATATCGAGAGTGAAATTTAAAGAACAGATATCAAGTGGAAATAAATCATACATTTAGCTAGCTCAACTTATTACTAGTACTTCAGCCTTATCCCTGAAGAAGGAGTGCAAATTTCTTAGTATATTATTTACTTAGTATTAATGTGCTCCATTTTCCTTGTAATGAAAATATACTACAGTATTTCTAAAATATTCCAATGTACTCTACAACTAAGAAATTTAAAGTATTTAATGGACTTTGACTTTAAATTTTAGAACTGCAAATATTTACACTTTACAAAAAAGACTATTTCATACATTTAAACTTAATTTACACATTGTCCTATAATATCTTTGCGCCTTACATTTTGTAGATCAAAACTTACACATACAATAATTTACAACTGGTAAACATAACACCCCCCAAAGAGCGAAATATTTTTAAAATAAGTCAGTTAGCTACAAACCATCCTTCACAAATCCTATGCTTTAAGTTGTTCTGAACTGACGCAATACCAGTTTTAAAAAATTATCTCTTAAGGAAAAGATGAATTAAAATATCAAGTTACAAGCTCTGTGCTGACTTTACAAGTGCTCATTACGTTAATTTTTAAAAAAGATTCTTGAAAGGAACAGATTATAAAATTTAACAGAAGACTGACATGAAGATAGCAAATAAAATGATTTGCAAATTTTAAATCTCTTCAGTGCATACATTGCTCGAGAGCTTAGAAAAGTTTTTTTTAATTGCCAATTCCCAAATCACCCAGCAAAAACAGCCACTAGCTATCCTGGCTCAGAGATCTGGAGGGCCATCCAATAAATGAACTTCACCAAGCTCTGCAATACTATTTGTAAATTGTTTTAATATATTTCCTAAGAGTTTAATCCATGAAGGGGACCCCCCCACACACAAACATACACATTCTCTCCCCCACCCCTTGCCTCTAAAGAATCAAACATTAATCTACTTTGGGAATAAGGCTGCTGCTTTGAATAGGCACAAAAGTTTGGAGACTTTTAGTTGTGATAGCTTATTGCTACCAATGCAATAATTTTATTATATCAATAAGAAGCTATATAAATCGTAATTTGCACAGTATGTGCTCCTCAACGGCATGTCTCTTCTGTCAACTTTACCTCTCTCTCTCCCTCTTCTCCAAAGGCATGCATATGATTCAGCAAAGTCCTCACTGGCATGGATGGCACTTTGCTCAATAAACGAGCTTAAATACATAACTTAAGTGTGAGCAAGGAAAGGTCTGTAAATGAAAACAGATTCATACTACTCTCTGAAAGTTGGCAGTTATGACTGAAAGCATTAGTTAATAGTACGATGGGGAAAATGTTTAAAATGCTTGTAACCACTAGCTGAATAACATGTTCCCAGGCAAATGGTTCTGAAAGGCACATAAATCCGTTTTAAAAGCCCACTTGTGTTCAAATCCTCTCCTATGCGGACAAAGATTTTAGGACGAAGCTCTATATAAGGCATCCGTGTTTTCCACTTGTCCATGTACTTCAGAATGAGCACCACCTGTTATGTAATGTTTCAAAAAAAAAAAATCCAACTAGCTTCCTTCAAAAGTGAGTTTGCAAATGTGACACCATTTGCGAGGAAGAGGAGGAGGAGGAAGAATTGGAAAGTTTAGGGTTATTTGTTATTTGCAGCTCTTCTAGTCGCTTCATATAGTCATCTCGCAACGCCAGGAGTTCCATGTAGCGCTGTTCCACTGGATTCGGCTGCTGAAACATTTAAAAGTTAAAACATTTAAACATGGGGAAGGATGCGAGTGGGACCATATAATACATCCGTGGCACAATGTGAATCTTGTAGGTATTTCATGGACCTACTAATGTTATTTAACAGAAATCTTTGTAGACTGCAGCCCCATCATATACTCTGTATTTAGAAAAACACACATACTGTACATCTTAGTTCTCCACAGATGAAAAATCTGCTTATCTTGATGAAAATCTTAACAATAAGGATCCTGGTTATTGACATAGTTACTGTACTTTCAAACAAATAGCCTAAAGATACGTGGACTCCCCATATGCTACCGGCTTGTTTCTCCACAAGCTGATTTGTTAAGGCCATGTATGTGTGATGTTGGCTGCCTTCACACATAGCGATAAAGCAGAACTTAAGAGAAATCTAGGTTAATGTATCATGTTGTGTTCTTCTGTTCCAGCCCGTTTACATATGCATGGAGCTTCTCACTAGCATGACTGGTGCAATAAAACCATGAATTATTTGTTTAGCATGTCATATAGGATCCTTCCAGTAAATTCCCGGCTTGTGTTGCTCATAACTTTCTACAACAAAAAGTGAAGGAAGATACTACAGGAACAGCTATCCCTGACTTGATTATAACCCATAAAAAAACTGGTGGAAGCAGCAGCAGCAAGAGGAGCTCTGGGGGAGAGGGACCATGTTCTACTTGACTTTGTGTTTTCAAATGAAAAAAAGCAGGGTGTAGCCACACATATGTGCTGGACTTTAGGAAAGCCAGTTTTAATAAACTCAGAACAATGATAGGTAAGGTTCCATAGCAGGAGATCCTAGCAGGAAAATGAGTTCAAAATGGATGAGTGTTTCTTAAAAAGGCAGAACTTAAACAATTCAAACAAAAAGAAGAAGAAAAGGTGTAAGACAGGAAATAAAGAGTAATTTGGCTTCACCAAAAGCTCAGAGAGATAAAAAAAATAAAAAAGGACACATACGGGAAGCATAAGGCAGGACAGGCCACAAAGGAAAAGTATAGATAAGTAGTAAAGAATTGCAGGGATGGCGTTAGGAAGGCAACTGAGAATGCGCCCAGGTTAGCATGCTAAAAGTACCAAAACAGCAATCTTCAGCTACATGTATAAGACTATCATTTTTTAAAAGTCTGCATTAAAATCCCAATTTTTCCCAATTTCTAATTTTATATGTTATTGGCAATTCTTTCATGGCCTCTGGCAAAAAAACAAAACAAAAAAACTCAGCAAGTTGAAACATGTCTCTCAGTAAATTAGTTTATATTTTCGCTCCTCAAAAAGTGAATTCCTTTTATCCATACAAAGATCTTCAAAGCAAATATAAGATTTTCAGTGGTTGCAACTCTGAAGGCTACAGAGACACATTGCTTGGCTTTTTTCCAGCATGCTGTAAAGACTTTCAGAGACACTACAGAAAAGTGACTACTTCTTTCTTAGTGGCTCACTGATAAAGGCTGTATTTATCAAATACAGAAGCTCCCTTCTCTGTTGGCTTCCAGCTATTCTGCCAAATCTTGAGGATAAGAAGTACTGTGCATTTACCATCTTGCGCTGCCTGGCAGATCAACATTTAAACAAGAGTTGACCAGCAAGGGATAGATAGAATGCTTCAAGAGAATTCTCACAGAAATTGCAGGGGCCCGAAAGTAAAAATTCAGCCCTTTCAAGTGCTTTTAACCTGTTTTTTTCAACTGTTTTTATACGGCTTGTTCGCTGGCCTCTCACAAGGAAGGGCAGGATTTAAGCTGAGTTGATGAATGAATATATAAATAAATATGGAAAAAGCTGCAGTTCTCTAATAGTAAAGAATTTCAGTTGCTCTTACTTCAAAGTAGTATAGTTATGTTTGGCTTTCATTTTCAGGCATGTGCACATTCATGCATTTGTTGTCTTGCTTATGGCAAAATATATGAAGGAAGAAATTACAATACTCCCATACAAAAAAACCCTACTCATGTCTGTCATATGGGAGAATTCACTCATCTTACTTCAAGAGGAGAAGCAGCTCTCTCCTTTAGACATTACACTAGGAGCACAAGTACTGTAGAGGATACATGAGTGAGCCATATAAAGTCCTCATGTCAGTATAATGTCCAGCGCCTCTCCAGTCTGCCCACCATCATAGGTTCCTGGTTCTGAGACCTCACACACGTGACTATGTGGACAACTATCCATATGTATTATCTGCAGACCATGCTTCCTTACACGGTTTGAAGCAATGCTTGATGCTCATGCATAATTTGATGTAAGCTGAGATGAACAGTCTTTTTCAGTGTCCTCAGAGTCAAGCAGCTACTGAAAACTCAACACCGATTCAGAAATTCAGTCTGGTTGTGCATTCAGCCTCTAGATGAGGGTGCCCCTAAGGACTCAGGTATAGCCCTTCCACTGGTGGTTTAATCCTGTGGTTTAACTCCCACTACCTCTTCCTTTAACCAGTTTCTCCAATTAAAAGTTTGGTTGCTTGACCAGAGTCATTTATTGTTAAATCATCCCATTCTTTGTGTGGGTTTTGCCTGTTGTACACCCTTGTGTACAATGCAGCCTTGTGGCTGTAGCCAAAACTGTGCTCACAACCTAGGGTTCCTCTTTGTGTGGGTTTTGCCTATTGTACACCCTTGTGTACAATACAGCCTTGTGGCGCAGTGGTTAAACTGCTGTACTGCAGCCAAAACTGTGCTCACGACCTGGGGTTCAATCCCAGGTAGCCAGCCCAAGGTTGACTCAGCCTTGTATTTATTTATTTATTTATTGGACTTATATACCGCCCCATGAGTACCCAGCTCGCTGGGGGGGGGGGGCAATGTGTAGCCTGCATAATTAACTTGTAAACCACCCAGAGTGTGCTTGAAGCACTATGGGGCTGTATATAAGCAGCACGCTTTTTTGCTTTTATAAGCTGTCTCCCATGCACTCCACTAACAGGAGCTACAAAACCGTGCAACATAGGTGAACACACCACTGATCATAGTGCAACCACAGCTGCCTTTTCCCATTTATGATGCGCATGGAAAAATCTATAACGACAGAAGGCACAGCAGGCCAGAGAAGGCAGCCATTCTATGTGATGATTCAAACAGTCTGAACTGAGATGAAGAGAATGAGAAAAGCAGAGTCATGGAATAATGGAGCTGGAAGGGGCCTGTATGTCCATGGAATCCAACTCCCTGCTCAGTGCAGGAATCATATGTCCATTGAATCCAACTCCCTGCTCGGTGCAGGAATCCACATCAAAGTAGATCTGACAGATGGTTGTCTAATTTTCTCTTAAATTGCCTCTAGCGTTGGAGCACCCACCCCCTCCCAAGGTAACTGTTGTACTGCCCTAACATCCTGCACTCTAGCCTGATTGAGAAGAGACAGTTACGGAATTTTCCCTGGTACTCACTGAAAAGCTGGCCTCCTGTACCGTAAGCCCATTATTACATGCCCTGTACTTTGTGATGATCAAGAACAGATCCTGCACTTCCTCTGTATAAGAATTTTAAAAATGCTATCCTATCTTCCCTCTGTCTTCTTTTCTCAAGGCTAAACATGTCCAATTCTTTCAGTCTCTCCTCCTAGGGCTCGTTTTCCAGCCTCCTGGGCATCCTTGTTGCCCTCCTCTGAACTTGTTCCAATTTGTCAGCATCCTTCTTGAAGTGTGGTGTCCAGAACTGGACACAGTACTTAATAAGGTCTAAATGGTGCCGAATAGAGGGGGACTAATACCTCATGGGATTTGGAAACTATACTTCTGTTAATGAAGCCTAAAATAGCATTTGCCTTTTTTCTAACTAAACCACACTGTTGGCTCATATCCATCTTGTGATCTGCGATTTGAAGAGCCTTCTCACTTGCAATATTGCTGAGCCAGGTATCCCATCTTGTAACTGTGTTTGTTCTTTTTCCTAGGTATAGATCTTCGCACTTATCCCTGTTAAATTTCATTCTCTCATTTTCAGCCCACTATTAAAGCCTATCAAGATCTTCAGTTTCATTCTTGTCTTCCAGGGTTTTAGCTATTGCACCCAATTTTGTGTCATTTGCAAATTTGTTAAGAATTCTCTGCAATTCCCCATCCAAGTCATTAATAAAAAGAGCACCGGGCCCAAAACTGAGTTTTGGGGTGCCCCACTTGTTACCTCCTCCCAGTCTGAGAAGGAGCCATTGATAATAAGTACTCTCTGAGTATAATTTGATAACCAACTGTGTATCCACCTGGCAGTTTTTCTAGTTTGCCCACACATGGTCAGCTTGCTAATCGGAATATTATGGAGCAGTTTGTCAAGAGCTTTGCTGAAGTCAACATATATTATGTCTACAGCATTCCCACCAACTATGGGGGAGGTCACCCAATCAAAAAATTACTGGATTACTGTAACACATTCTACATGGGGTTGCCTTTGGAAAGTGCTCAGAACTTCACCAAGTCCAAAACACTACAGTCAGACTGTTAACTTGGGCTGGTTACAAGGATCACAAAACCCTCTCTATTACAGCAGCTCCACTGCCTGCTGAGCTATTTCCGAGCACAATTCAAAGTGCTGTTTTTTCATCCTATGAAGCCCTAAATGGCTTGGGGCGAAGCTATCTCAGAGACTGCATCTCCTTTTATAAGCCTGCCTAGGTGTTAAGATAATCAGGGGATGCCTTGTTTTTTGGTCCCATCACCCTCACAGTGGTGTTTGGTGGAGACACAAAAGAGCGCCTTCTCTGTGGCTGCTCCCAGACTCTGGAACTCCCTCCCACAGGAGGCCACATCTTTGCTGTCCTTCCACAAGCAGGCAAAGACCTTTCTCTTCAGGCAGGATTTTCCTTAGTAACTGGTTGTCTAAGAGAGGTTTTAATCAGGATGGTTTGTATTTCTATTGCTTTTAAATCTGTTTTAGAATTGCTTTTACCTAACATTGTTAATATGATTATTTAATACTTTAAAAATATGTTATTAATTTTTGTTTTTTTTAGTTTTTAATATTGTGTTTTTAATTATGTAAACCACTTTGGGCTCTTTTTTAAGGAAAAAGGCAGAATAATGTTAAATAAATAAATAAACAGTCCAGTAGGCATCCTTCAGTCTCAAGAGACTATGGTAACGTGCTTTGTATGGAGGTCTTGGAACAGCGTCTAGTGGGGCTGAGGAGGCCGATCCAAGAGTGACAATCCCTTCCAGACTGAAGACAAATACAATCTGTCCCTTGTCCAGCTCCCTGATTTTGCTGCTTTCGCGACTGCCTCTTTGCCTCGGCCTGTTGTACAAGTGTCTAATAAATAATAATAATAATAAACAAATAAACAAATAAATAAGTGGTAAGATCAGTCTGTCAGGATTTGTTCTTGACAAATCCATGCTGGCTTCTAGTTATTACTACACTGTTTTCAAGGTGCTTGCAGAGTAACTGCTTTATACTGTGTTCTAGACTTTTCCCTGAGATTTATGTCAAGCTGACTGATGTATCATTCCCAGATTCCTCCTTTTTGCCCATTTTTGAAGACAGGGACATTAGATTTCCTCCAATCATCTAGCATGTCATCCATGATTTCAAGAAAATATTAGATAGTGGTCCTGAGAATTCTTCAGCCAATTCCTTCATACTCTTGGGTGCAGTTCTTCCAGCCCTGGAGATTTGAACCCATTCACAGTAATAAGATATTCCTTGACTCTTTGTTTATCAATATCAAGCTGCAGTCTTATCCTCTCCATTTGTATTTGTCAACACCAGGCAAATATGAAGCAGGAATTTATGAACTAAAGTAGGAATTCAGCACTTTTTCCAGCCTCACTGAGTAGCCTCTTTTCACTGACTTTTGCCACATACGTACCTGAAGAATGATTTTTTGTTCCTTTTAGTATCTCTTACTAAACTCAGCTCATTCTCAGCTTCTGCCTTCCTAACATCATCCCTACAATTCTTTACTATTTGTCTGTACATATATTCGCAGTTCCATGCACCCACTGTACATGATAAAAGAGAAGCATTTTGTGGAGAAGTGCTTATAGCCATACTGTATTCTGTTTGCATGTTGTCATGTTTGCCTGGATGTGTGGTTTAGAGAGAGAGAAGTGAATTCCATATATATATTTTTTACACATGTACACACAACAAACAAAATTGTCAAAGCACCTGGATTGTACTTTGAGATGTCTACTACTGCCTGAGTGCACAAACCATTTATCAGTCTGTCTTTACAAAGGAATTTCCAAAACATATTAGGCATTTTAGTAAACATTAGAAGAACAGTTTCCCTTTTAGGTTGAGGTCACTCCCTCTCCAAATTTCCCCATCCTATATAGATATATTTAGGCACACACCGAGGAAGGAAAAATTGTCCAGATCTTTTTGTATCACTGTCTGCATTGACCTTCATGTAGTTGGTGGTGGTTTATTTTCTTAAATTGTCTGTTCTGCATGTTTTCAGTTCTCAGCCATGGAACACATTCAGTGAATTTACTGGAGAATTAACTCAACAATGAAAATAAGGTGTTTTGCATCATGTCCTCAAAACTTAAATGTTGATAATATGCTGCTCCTTGATAATCTGAAGCTATACATGTTAACTTCATGTCTGGTCTGCAGCAGAGCAGACCTGTTTCATAAGATGCTATGCAGTTACTTTTAGTTGTTGCCATGTGGTTACAACCCAATTGTACCCTATAGTGTGTGAAAATGATCTGTGGTGGTTTCAGGAAAATCCTCCGAGGGCCGTGGAAATCATGCTTTTTTAAGACAGAATGTGAGCAACTGGAAGTTAAATTTTTCAAATGTAACCACTCACTATGTGGCTTGTTGATCTGTTCTGAATTTAAGTTTGTTTTAAAATTATATGCTGTTTATTTGTTCAGAGCTGAACATTTTTTATGTTGTAAAAAGGACCTCAGTTAGGAGGGTGAGGAGACTCGAGACAGCCACAGAGAACGCTAGACTAGCTAGACTGATTCTCCTACTCAGAATAAGACAAATTCATGTTATCCTATTAGGTTACAGATATATAAATATATACCACAAAACACTACATTAGGCTTCCAGTTCTTCTCTTTACAGTAAGATTTAAGAAGCTTACTTGTTGCCTAATCCTTGGGTTCCACCGAATGTAATAATTAACCCAAAGTTCCAGGTGGCGCATGCTTGCTACTGGATAAAGGGCACGATTCAATTCTTTAGTATAAAAAGGATTGATATATTTCGATTTTGTGCTGTTGATCAAAGACCAAAGAGACAATGTTTTCTCGCTCAATTTCTGCCAGGAAAGAAACCGGGGGGGGGGGGGGGG